GTAACTTTCCCCGGCCTGAGATGGCCTAAATCCTCATCTCACATGCATCTGGAAATTCCGGCCTAGGAATAGCCAGGCTAAGAATGGGTCATGATTCAGGAGCCTATCTCACATGGGGTCTCGCACTTGCAGTATGAAGCACGAAAAGTGAAGTCCTGATCGAAGAGGGAACTCGAAATGCTCACAAAAAAGAAGAAAAATAAACGAAGTGCACGTGCAGGCTCCAACTACACCAGAGGAAAGAACGAACGTCTCGGGATGAAAGAGTACTTGAAGAGTGTACAAGTACCCCGTACTCGCTTAGCATATGGAGTGTACTGCGTAGTTAGTACTCACCTCATCCACCTTGGATCATCAGTCCAGCAATGAATTGTATTCATGTACTTCGAAGTAAACTCAATCCTCGGCAGGAGCCGTTCGACATTCGTCACTTCCAAAACAACTCCAATCATCAATGGCAAGATACAAACCACGATGCAACATCAATCTGGAGTCCCCGCAGATCCTCACACGCTCACATCGACTCACAGTCGAATCGGCTCCTCCATGAGCGTATCTTTGCATAGCCGCGATGCCGATGAGCGGTCCAGCGCATCAAATAGCCATGGCCCACGAGCCAGCCCATGTTCGGCGAAATGGATGACATTCAGGCACAAACCTAAATGCGCACGAAGGGCCCCATGAACACCTCCAACTCGAATCCTGGTTTTTGCAGCCAGCTGCCGACTACCGCAGCAGGCACAGCAAGACCTGGCGCATTGAAGCAGGTACGGAGTACAGAGCACAGAATCCGCTGAGCTTCTGGCGTTATGGGCTGGTTCGCTGTAACCAAGTATTCGACGGGTTGCCTGCGTGGCTGGTACTTCGTGCTTCGTACTTTGCCCTTTCGTGCGAGTTCCATCGCTGACGACCCTGAGGATATGAATGATCTTCAATTTTGGGGGCCGGGTCTGTCGTTCGGGGCATTCAATCCCGCAATTGCACCATTCAAGCACCGGAATGGCCGCCCCGCACGCCACACCGCAACTGATTCAGGCCTCACTGTCTTGGCAAAAAATGAATCAGCCTGAGCTCGTCGAGAAGTGCGACAATGAACGAAACCAAAAATATGCACTGCACCCTCACTAGGCATTCTGGTCCCATGCTCTAGATGGGTCCTGGGCAACCTTCTCGTCCCCCAATGGCAGCTACCCGGTTCTCGGGAGGGGCTAGGGAAACATCGACAGTCTTCCTCACGTCCTGGTCGGGTATCACGGTTATTGCGGGAACATTGGATCCGATTTACAGTTGGCCGGCGATACGGTCCTCCCACACACTAGATCATCCATCTCATGATAAGCCAAGATGAACATCATCCTAGCTCTCTTCGATCGAATGTCCCTCGAGATGACAATTCAAGGCGTGAGGACATCTACGTTCTTGGTGTCTCTAGATACTGTCTCTAGATACCTCGTCCTGGGTTGTACCTTGGTATCGTGGTTCTGAAACGCTGATCCTTTTAGGTGTCTTTGGGAGGCATCACTTGCCCACTACCAAAATCCTCGCTCCGAAACCCCCCCCCCCCCCACACCAAAAAAAAAATGTCCAGTGTAGCGTGCGAGTCGAATCATGGCGCTAGGTCTGGGGCCGGCTGTTCATCCGCGAGGACTAAGACATCTGCGCCAGCCTCGGCCTGTTAAACTCCATCCCACGCGCCGGCTGGGCTGACGAACATGTCTCAGCAGCCATGTTAGCTCTCTGAGGTTCGATAAGCTCGGCCATCGTCACGGTTCTTCCCTACCGGAGAGCTGGCCGAGCTGATACATGGCCGCGGACGATCGTGCAATTTAGTCATTTCTTAGATCCCACTCCCGGTTGTGATTTCTGTCCATGGAGCCCCGAACGACAGTATCACAGCCTGACTCTCGACGCTTGTGTCTGCTCTGCTCCGTGCAAGTGGCGGGCAGTTTTACTGGCAGAATCAGAGCAGATGAGGAGTGGACCTCGCCTGCTGAATGGCCGCTCACGGAAGCTCACCAACGGTCTTACTATCATCACAAATGAATATCCGCTCACGCCCTGTTCATTTCCGCCTTATCTGAAAGAAACATCCTTCAGTGACGTCTTTCCTCCGTGCTCAGGAAGTTTATCTTCACAAAGTGCGGTAGGGGAGAGCGTGGACGAAAGCATCATCGATGATCCGCGATGCTACCACACCTCAGACAGGCGCGCCACATCGCTGTTAAACCATGATGACCGCAGTCCGACTTGCTTTCGGTATCCTGGCTCGTGCCGATTCCACGCCATACAGCCATGAGCCAGGCCTTCCAGCCTCGCTTGGCTGAGATGTCACTTTTTTTATTGTTGACGCCCTCCCCCTTCTAAATTCCGAGGAATTGTGCTACTGTCTTCAGCCAGGGCACTCTTCAGGGCGATAGGGTGCGTACGGTGCGGCATACTGCCGGTTGTTTGTTATGATGCCCTCGTTTTCGGCCGCATTTGCGCCGGCGAAGTAGGCTATCAGTCACGAACTCAAATACCCAGACGCAGCCCACTCCTGGCGCGGGTTCGGCGGGCCTGGACGGATCCAAATCGGCCGAGTACGGCTCTTGGCCAGTCAGCAAGCTGTTAGCTTCGCGTAGCGAAGGCTCGGTGAAGAAAGTTTCTTTTGCAAGCGCAATGCAGATGATGAGCACGGAACCGCATTCTCATGACGTCTGCAACCATCAAATACGAGTGTATGGGAGCCAGTCCTCGACTCATGTACGAGTCGATCCCCTCAAAGCACATGCGAGCCGACTCAGCTAAGTTTGCTAGGCGTATCTTGCACATGTTTTGACTTGATCGCGTTTTTCTACGGCACCTGGCCCTCGGGCTCGTGCTTCGATGGATGGACGAACACCGATGTCAAAATCTACTCCCAGATTCGCTCCCCGCATCCCTATCTCTACCCTTGATATAGTTTCGTCCCATTATGCGTGTCTGGACGGCATGATTCATCGTCATGCCACGGGCAACAGCGATCCATTGGGACCGAAGGCACATGTTGCCCATGCACCGCGGAGTCGACATGCACGATGTCTTTAGCATGGAAAGCCTATTATTCTAGAATTAGCCTGTCAAAATAAGCTCTGAAAGGTTTGCCTTCGAGGCCCCATCTCGCCATTTCGGTGAGCGGCAGTGGCTGGGAGGTTTGTGAAGGGGGGGAGTCGTAGTGGGCCTTGCCTGTTGAGTCATACTAAGTAGGGATCCTGGTGATAGGATGGAAAGAGCGGGGAGGGGAGTGATGATGGGGAAACCTTGGAGGGTGGTTGTATCTCCAATGTTGAGTACATCGTGTTGGACCTTCTTGGATCACTCCATGTCAGCAGCTTCACACCGAACCGGCGTGGTCTCGGCTCCGTTCGAACTTTAGTTGGGCCGGCCAAGAAAATGAGGTGCCGCCGTGGAAATTCTAAAGCCTAGACTGATCCTATACGAGCTTCTAGCGGGTATGGACGCCAAGGAGACGGTAAACAGTATCTATCTCCTGTGACGCGAGCAAACTCGGTCGATCAGAAGTTCATCCAAAAGGTACTAAACGGGCCGAGGGGACTTGGACGCGGAGCTAGTGTTTTGCCTTCTTCTTGTAAGCTGGGGCTACCGTAGTGAAGCTAAACCTACCTGCCGCGTGCTCTGAGGCCACTTCATGAGGTTGAGAATACCACTGTTCCAGATGCTCATGCTAATCGCCACTGGCCAGAGCTCCTGATCCTCTTTGCTATGAAGCTTGTCACGTCAGAACGAACTGACTCAAGTTGAGTCTAGCTGCTGGAGACCCATGTGTTTGACCGCAAATGTTGAAATATACTATAATTCCTCGACTCAACAGCTGTCTTCTTCCCTATGTATCAGGGTGGACTGTATAACGCGGTGCTGACAGCTAAATCTCTGGCAAGGCTCAACCTCGTAACAGGGACCTTCGATAGCGGTCGCCAGTTCTCATGTAGTGAGTGCGTGACCTCGTGCCGAACGCGGTCGTTGCATCTTTATCTCCAAATGCGATGATATCAGATCGTATCTACCTCTCTATGTTCGCAAGAGGAAGCATTATATACATGTATGTTTGACGGGACCAACCAAGCCTGGCGCGAAATAGCATAACCTCCCAGTCTTCGCATCTCTCCGCTTCTGGCGTGCTGCATAAGGTAGGCCCTTCACTCCTCCAAGCATCTGACTTGGGATCGAATGAAATGGAGGTAAGAGCAAATACATGACCGACAGACCGCCAGAAGTCAAAGATCCGGCGCGGGCGATACGAAGGACTCTCGCGAAACAAAACTCGTGCTGAAGGTATGGCCGCGGGTCGGTGGTGAAACGGCGTACCTTGGGATGTAGGCACCCGCCGTTTTTTTTTCCTATCTCTCTTATACCACTGTGGATTGACAGGCAGGTGGCATTCAACCACGAAAAAGTCTTTCGTCTATCCAATCTTCATTCCCCGGTTCCATCGCCGGTTTTCGAGGAAAACGTGCTTGCCTCCCCTGGCGTGTCCTCGCGTCCCACGAATGGGCTCGTGTTTTCTTGTGCCGAGATGGTGGCTCTGGGTTACAATCAGAGAGGAGCTCAGCTCAGGCGAGGGACTGACTCAACTTCTCGAGACCCCCGAGAGGAGAGGCAGAGTCGACGGGGCCGAGTTGACTGGGCATGTCTTGTCTCTTTTTCTTCTCGAATGCTAGCGACCCAATCTCTTTTTGACAAGCCTCATATGTACATCTATTCGCTAGACCCATGTCGCCCTACCTCCGCCGTCTAAAGATATCAGGTTGAACAACCTGCCAAACGTATACAAGTCCGAAATATACACATAATCCGAAAGTCCTTGATATGGCTCCCTTGTGCCATCTCATTTCTCATCCGTACATGCAAGCTCATGATATATATATTTTTTTTCCTTCTTCATCGTCTTCCCATCTGTACGCCCAGTCGGTTCCCCCGTCCCGCTCCTCCTCAGCTGTAAACGCTCCTTTTTCCTTACTCGTCTATTTGTTGTGCCAGATAAAGTTCCTCAACGAATCCCAATGATCGGAGTCGACATAGATATAATTCATACTGCTCCTCAAACTCGACTGCAGGTCCTCGGGATGCCACCTGAAGAGGTACATCACCATAGCCCACGACAGCGACGCGAACGCCGGCCACGCGTAGTGGCTGATCTGCGAGCTCAGCGGCTCCTTGGAGACGACGGGGAGGCCCGCGCCAGGCTTGACGGATATGCGCGCGAGGGCGAGGACGACGCGCGCGAAGACGTAGATGACGATTTGTTGGCTGACGGAGGGGATTTTGCCGGTGCGCTTGGAGCGGCGGCCGAAGACGACGTAGCCTCCTAGGAGGCCAGCGAGGAAGGTATCGTAGGGTCCTGGAGAACGAGGGGGGGTTTCCCCGTGTTAGCACGTCGCGGGTCCTGTATTGTGGAGGCCTTCAGTTTTTTACCTTCTTTTCCTGGCGTGGGGCCGAATCGCTTGAGCAACATAACGGTGAGCTTGTAAATTGTCGCGAATGTCGCTAGGTTGCGGGCGTGTGTCCTCGTGGCTCTCAGAACGAGTGAGAGTTTATGTCTGAAGCTATATCCCACGATTTCCCCATTAGCCTCCGAGACCAGGAAAAAAAAGAAAGGACATAAATCGAGGCGAAGACTTACGTCCCGGACCGGAATAGAAAGATCATGCTAGATTCAATCCCGTGGTATTAGCGACCAACAACACGATTTCCTCCTCCCAATCTACCACTCGCCAAAAGAGACCTCGGCACCCAGCACGGAATTCTTACACAAGCGCATGCGGAAACCGCACTTTGCTCCCATACACGGCGCCATTGCGCGCTCCCTTCACAACACTCAAGACATCCTGATATCGCGGGTCTAGAATAATGCGCTCAACAGCAGACTAGCGAGCCGGGTTAGCATTTTGACGGGGGGGCTGCTTCCAACTTGAGACGAAGGTCGTGGCGTCTGTGGTTTGCGACAACGCCACTGACGAACCTACCTTGAGCACTTCTAGACTAGACATCTTGAACGGAGATTCACCCAGGGACGGCGCAAAATCGTAAAGAGGTCGAGTCCTGGAGGAATCTGGGGAAAGGAAAGGGAAAAAAGAAAAGAAGAATCTGGGGTTGTGGGGAGATTTTGGCCGAGGGAAGGGAAAAAGGGACTTTCGCGGTTCGGAAATTCAAGATGGAGTGTCTATGACGGCATAAGGAACCTCGGATGCTAAGACGGCGTCCTAAATCGGCAACAGCTCAAACCTCGACCAGGACCCAGCAAAATGGAGACGACACGGCACAGAAAAAGGGAACGGGAAGCCAAAAAGGAAAAAAAGGGGGTATCAGGGAATGGAATAAGAGAATCGATTTACAAATTGCAAAAGGAAAAGAAGAGCCAGGACGACAAGTTCCGGGCTCGCAGGAAGATGGCCTTGGGCTTCGTAGAGTTTATTATTGTCCGACTCCCTCGGGGGCGTTGTGCTTTTGTCCTTGGTGCTCTCGGCTCAAAGCTTGGCGCAGTTCGCTGGTGTTGAAAATGCAGGGAAGATGAGAGGCTTGAAAAGGCCCCAAAAAGGCCCCGCTTGCTTGATCCGTCCAAGTCTCTTCGCTGAAGTTGCTGCGTGTGACATCTTGCAGGAGCGGCCCAGCGCTCTTTCCACTCTTTTCTTCGCCGTTGGCTCGGTACTTTGTCCTGAAAAGAGTACACGTCCGGGGCGTAGCTTTTGACATGTGACTGCACTGGCGGACATGCCGTCTCGATAGCTGCATATTGCATATTTTCCTATAATTGATCATCACTTGGACGGGCTTGAGAAACGAAACCAGACGCAATCAATGAAGCAAGAGAAACATCTCCGATGGTAAATGTGTGTGTATCCGTCTATCTAAAGGTATATGGCTGCCACCAATTCCACCAGATCAGGTCATATCTTAGCCAGGCTAGCTTTGACCCCATGCTGAGCCATCTATCAATGCGAGCAAAGACCCCAACTTCGAGGTTCCCACAGCTCCGTGTAACCTCCAACCTCCAGCAATTGGACCTCGGCGCAGCTGCAATGACAACGTTCTCCAGCCTGGGCCATGCTCTTTCAGACGAGAATATCCCTGCGCCTTCCCCACGTTTTTCCAGGGTGAGAAGAGCCAAGAATCAGATGCCACGACCCCTGCAGGGGGCTTTGAGGTCGAGAGCAAGATAGTCCCAGTCCTTATCTTCTTCCCCTCACAAACGATCCCACCATGATCTCTAGGAAGAGTGTGAGCGCCCCACTATCATCTCCGTTTATTGCCAACTCCAGCCACACGCATATAGCTTCTGCTCCGAAAGACACATTGTTTCATTTCCTTCACCGTGAAGCCAGGCGGTTAGAATCCCAATGTCTTTTGTCCAATCAACTCCCAAACGCCAAACGATGCACATGATTGCCTTGAAGCACGCCCCGACCTTTTGTTCGAAACCGACTCCGCCATCGATTACACAAGCAAAACACTATATGGCGCCTCAGTCAGCATTGCGAACCTTCACTTGGAAACATGGGGAGTTCCTGTCCAAGTACTCACGCATTCACACAACCGTCGTTAGACGGGTTGTTCGTAATCTGGGCGTACCGACCCCACACAACCTTACCCGACGCCGTCACAAGACCAAGATCACTGACGTTGACCTCGATGACCGTACCCTTCGTGAGGACGCCGAGTTGAGTGTAGAGAGGGTTGTTGGGGTTCTTCTTGACCGAGATGATGGGTAGCTGCACAGTGACCTTGAGCTCGGGGTGCGTGACGTGGGCCTTCTTGTATCGCAGACCCATGGGCCTGATGAACCGCTCGTACTTGGGGTTACGTCTCGTGAACTCGGGTCCGACGAAAGTCTTAAGAGGGCAAAATAGTTAGTGCACCAAAATCTTAGCAGGAGAGACGTCGCTTCCAGGAGGAAATTGTGTGTAACTTACTGGTTGCGTAACGACTCGCTTCCAACCCTTCTTGTGGGTCTTCTTGCCCGTCGCCACCACCTTGAACATCTCCTCCTCACTAATACCCCTAACCTTGGGTAAAGGCACGCTGAACCGCGCGGCCTTTTCCGCTCGCTTGTTCTTGATCGCACTGCTCAACGCCTTGGCAGAAGCGGGGTTCTAAAAAAAAAAAAAAAAAAAAGAGACGGGACGTCAGCACCACCCTCCCAGCTAGAATTTCGGGCTCTTGAAACCGAGAAAAGGAATCCAAAACATACCGAACGATCAAGTAGATACGCAGGTACGGGCGCAGATGGCTCGCTCTCGCCCGCCGCCTTGACATTCCTCTCTTCGTGCGCCTTGATCTGCTTCTTCATCTGGATCTTCTCCTTATGCCTCTTCTGCTGGTGCAGCTTGGCCTTCAGGCCCCTGAGATTCTGCGCATCTTTCGACGCCTTGTGCCCGAGCCGGGCGATCCGCTTGCGCTGTCGTTCCTCATGGTCTAGTCGGCGGCCGAACCGCTTGACGTGCCTCTCGATGTACTCGTTCTGGGGCTGTAGCAGGGAAAGAAGATCCCGTTAGTAAATGATTCATTCACGAGTGAACGGGTGTATTAGAGTGAATTAGTACCATATTGATTTATTTGCCGATTGCTGGAGTTGCAAAATTAAATCCAGTTGGCAATAAATGCCGTTTAAGAAGGCTGGGAGCTTTCACAAGAAGGCGGTGATCAAAAAAAGAAGAAAAAAAATATTGGAGGTGGGATGCCAAGATTTCGCCCCGGATCCGGAATAAGCTTTAATCCGAAGCCGTCCGATTTTTCAATGGTGCAGATGGACCTCGAAAACTGAAAGCTCCATCCATACCAAAAACTCATCTTGGGCCGCCGCGCTCCCTCCAATTGAACGGCCCCTCGTCAATTTTCCTCATAGAATATAACCAGGGCAAGAAAAACAAAATGAGCCGAGTACTTTTGCGCTCCGTCCTGGAACTCAGGGCCCCTTTACCGCGCCTGACACCCACGGTCTGCCTCGCGACGCGGTCCATCTCCTCAACCCCTACGTTCCTCTCGACGACCACCGCCTCTCCAACCTCACCTGATGCCGCCGCATCCCCGGCCGCGGCACCTAAACTCCGCTACCCCCCCGAGCAACCCATCCAAAAACCCCTCTCCGACTCCGTCCGCTCCCTCCTCCCCGTCCTCGCCGCCCAGCCCGCCCACTACATCACCATCCACATCCACGGCGTCCCCTACCTCGTCACGCGGGGCGACCACGTCCGCCTCCCCTTCCGCATGCCGGGCGTCGTCCCCGGAGACGTCCTGCGCCTCACGCGCGCCAGCGTCCTCGGCTCCCGCGATCTGACTCTCCGGGGAACGCCGTACGTCGACGAGAGGCTCTTCGAGTGCAAGGCTACGGTTTTGGGCGTTGAGGCTGAGCCGATGAGGGAGAAGGTTAAGACAAAGAGGAGGAATAGGAAAACGAAGACTGTTAAGAGCAAGCATAAGTATACGATTTTGGGGATATCGGATTTGAAGATCCATACGCCAGAGGAGATTGGCGAGTGAATACGAGGCGAAGGAGTGGAGTGGATATAATGGCTCGAGGGCTCGGGTTGGTCTCTTGGAGGTTGGCCTGGGCTAGGAACTAAGTGGTGGGAGCGGGAGTAAGAGTGTTATGAAGATTGGAGATGGAATCTCGAGGAGGTTCCCCTGTACAAAACCTGTTGCTATTAGTCCCATGGCTGTACCACATATCAGTATGAATAGACAACTTCACAACTAACATGGATGGACAAAGGATCTGCCCAGACAATACAGTCTTCATCACCGGTGAGTTGGAATCCAAATCCAGTGACACTCACAAGGCATTATAAAACACCTCTTCAAATAGCTTCACACAGCTTTACACGGTGGGACCCTATTATGAACGAGAGCCAAAATATTTGCTATTTCCAAAAGAACGACGACCCGCAGACACAGGGAATCGAGAGAAACCAAACAAGACAGAGTGGGAAAGTCTCTAAACCTAACAGAAACCAGCAATCCTCGCCGCCATAAAACACCAATCACCTAGTCGTAACATGAATGGACAACCACCTCATCCTCTCTGGTGTCCATCCATCCCCCACTATCTTTCCCCAAAGTCATTAGTCGAGCAAGCCGATGCTAATTGTTTAAAATAACACACTCTTTTTTGTAACCTCCAACAACACATAACCAGCCGAGGTATAATATAAACATGGTAAGAATGAGCAAAGAAAAAAAAAAGAAACAAGAAGTGAAGAAGAAACCTGGTATCCCGAACGCTCGCTAAATGGGACGATGAGAACAAGAAGAAACAGCGAGGAATCCCAAACGAGAAAGCGCCAACCCATTAAAACTCAAGCATTCGTCATTCATGTCCGATGTGCATTCATCGCCTTCTTCACGCTGGCCCAGTAAGCTGCGGGCCATACCGACATGGTCTCCGCCTCCGTGGGCATCCGGTCGCGACACCGCGATACGACGCTCTGGATGATCCTACCAAGGAGCTCTTCGTCGATGGGGAGCGCTCTCTCGTGTAGCTCGCCCGGATAAAGGAACGGATCCGTCACGTGCAGAAGCTCCTCGCACGTCGGTCGAAGGTGCGGTTCTCTACTCAAGCAACGCTTCATCGTGCGGATGAGGGAAGGAGGCACGGGCACGCCCCCCATACCGCGACCGGGAAAGTCGATGGCGTAATCCCAGTTAATGATAGCCTGACACCTGGCCATCGGGTTGGCGATGTGCGCGAAGGGGGCGAGCCCGTAAACCATCTGGTAGAGGATGCAGCCGAGGGACCACACGTCGCTGGCCTTACCCAGTTTCATAAGCTTGGGCTGGCCGGGAATCCTGACGCCGCGCATGGCGTTGTGATCCATCAGCGACTCGGGCGACATGTAATTTGGCGTGCCGATTTGCGTTTCTCGGTGGACGTGGACCGTCTCGTTTGTTTGGATAGCGTTGGCGATGCCAAAGTCGATGAGCTTTAACCGACCTTGCACGAGGACGAAGTTCTGGGGCTTTAGGTCTGAATGCACAACATCATTTTCGTGAACACCCAGAAGGCATTCAAGCATTTCTTTCCAATAATACCGCACGAATACGGGGTCGAATCGGCCGGTATCTGGAGGTTGCCTGGTCTTCAGGAACTGGTTGAAATCAACCTCGCCAAGCTCCATCACCTAAGTGCAAAGAGTCAGTTAATTATCTGCCCATGTTGTACTCCTACATGAGGTTTAGGGGCTAAAGAGGCGTAGAGCGACTTACCAGAGTAAGAACTTTCTTTTCATCGTTCATCTCGTAGTCCAGGAGATTGATAACCCTCTCAACCTTGGCGAGCTTGGTCAACAGATCAATCTCACTCTTGAAGCCCTTAATCGTAAGCTCATCGGCATGCTCTAGCGACACCCGTTTAAGCGCCCACATCCTTCCGTTTTCGGCCGTAACCCTGTACACCTTTGCGCTGCCACCACGTCCGAGGACGTCGAGTCTCGTATAACACTTGCCGTTTACTCTGATGATGTTTCGTCTCTGTTTCACTTGAGTCGTCACCGCTCCAGCGGAGGAAGTAGCGACGTCGACAACGGACATCTTGGGGGGAGGGGGCGCTGGGCGATGGGGTGTGTTGTGGTTAATCGATGATAGGGGCTTCCTCTCGGGTGACGCGGTCGCTCTAGATGCGCCGAGGTCGGTGCTGGCGGGGCGCTTGGCAAGTTTGTCCGCGAGGATGTCCGTGGAGAGCGGAAGCGGTTTCGATTGTCGAATGCTCAGAGGGACTTCATTCTCTTGGTCATGAGTGGATGGAATAGCGGGCGGTTGCTGCCGAGCAGCGGCTTGGCGTGCTGGTTCGGGTTCGGGCTCGGGCTCGCTCGCCATCGGGGATGGCCTAGCAGAAGATGCCATGCGCATATCGGCGAGGGATGCGTGGCGGCGGTGGAGATCTTTGGAGCTAACAGGACTTCCAGATGCAAAGTCGGTATACTTATGACTCGAATAGAACGAAGTTCCGAGTCCATCTCCAATACCGGTACCAGGGGTAGGTTCTGCCTTTTGGCTCTCCGGCTCCTGGCTGGAGCTCATGGGCTCACCCTCTCCATTCCCTTCGACATCCTCCTCGCTCTGGCGTCTCCGGCCCCTTCGAGCGGGTCCGCTGAGGAAGCTACCTGGAACCTTGCCGACACGCTTGATGCGCATAGAGCTCTGGAGGGCTAGGTTATCCTCAAGGCGGCCGATATTGCCTGCTCGAGAAACACTCCCCAGGTGACCAGAATTCCGCGCGGCCGTGCCGGGTTCTTCTGGTCCCTCGGCCTCCGTCTGGGATGCTGACGTAGACTTGACTGAGGACACTGCCGACGATGTGGCGGACCTGCCTCTAACAGCCGAGGAACCACTCGCGATCCTGACGACGCGAGGTTGCTGTGCTGGAGTGTTGATATCCGCGGGAGGGGCGGCGGCCACAGGAGGGGGAGCAGGCGCAGTCTTGTTGATATCCGAGGATGAGGACTTATCCCGACTAGGAGGTCGGCCGCCCGTAGACGGTTTCCTCTGCAGAGACGGCCGCGACTGCGACGACGTTGACCTCCGCTTCATTTGGCTCAGACTCTTGGGGGTTGTGCTTAACCGGACTACACGCTTCCTAACGGGACTACTCTCCCGGCTTTTCGCGGGCGAGGTCACGCGAGACGATCTTCCGTTTGTTTCGTAATATGGCTGGGAACTTCCAGATCGCAACTGCCTCCTGCTTTCCTCCTGGGCACTTGAAGTCGAAGATGAGAGTGCGCTGCGTCTCCTTGTCCTAGGAGGAGACGCCGGGGGATTGGAGGCCTGTCGAGTCCGGGGTGCCGGCGGAGGTACGGCAGGTGCGCCGTCGTCCAACAATGCCTTTGTGAGGGCGCTGAGTTTCATGGGGACGGGCATTTCGTCGTCGGAACTGTCGTGCATGTTGGAATACTGCGATTGAGAGTTGGTGGTGGGCACCGGATTTGATTCATGTCTCCGTAGACTCCGGGACGGCGGGCGTCGTAACGAGGCCTGTCTCTGGGAGGTCCTTCTGGTCAGAGGAGGCGCCTGTGACGACCCCATTGGGGTTGGTGATACTATCGATGCCATTGTTTGGATAGGTTCTGTGATTGTCGACTCAAGACGCCTTTCTGTTCTTTCCTTCTGTTGTTATTCAGAAATGTTTCCCTCCCAGCCACGGGTACAAATGATGGAGCCGGGACGCCGAAGATCAATGGGTGGGAACACGTCTTGTTGTTAATACGGCCAAATAAAAAACTCGAGGCTACGCGCCAATATTGCCCATGATGCAGGCGATATCGATTATTTGACGGTTCGGACTCGGGGGCGCGTGGAGATTTGCTGTGGTGAAGATGGTAGTGGTTTTGTGAGATGAGAATGGATTTTTGGGTTCCCGCGTTCAGGACATTATTTGGGTGGGATGGCGTTGGACCAATCATCATGAGTTCCGTTGCGCGGCAACGGCGGCGAAGATCATCGATCAAGGTGCATTTTCCCTATCTGGGTCGCTCTTTCTATGAATTTTATTGGATGCATGATCTCCAAAATTCCCGATTTATGCAACGGACCAATCCTCGCCGTCCGTCAACAGGTGAATATATGACGATGTTACAGAGTGCAACCTCGACCTCAACTGATTCCACGACGCACTTGTGGATTCATATTGCAAACCAAGGTCTTCTGTGTTAGTCACTTATTGATCTTACCGCTCATCCTGGGCCCTGTAAGAGGAACCTCAGAATAAGTCTGATTTCTATCTAGGCTCAAGTGAATCGAAGTCTGGAGCACTAGATGAAGGATGTACGAAGTACGCCCCATCCCCCAAGAGAGGAAAGGGGAGAGTCTGATTCCCGGCAGGGTCGCTGAAATATCCTTCGTCTACAAAAGGTTCAAGGAGAAGCAAATGACAGGTAAATTCGTCACATATTCACCGAGAAAGTATTATGTATCGTCACAGAATCACCGACAAAATCAACCTTCAATGTTGGGTACTTGTTCATCTTTTTTGTATTCATCAGGCCATCAATTCAAGCCGTCCAGGCCTACACTTGGTATAACCGCAACTCTGATACCGAGGACAAGCTTTTGCACGTCCTTGCGACAAAACCTGCCGTATGCACCGAACTAGATATAGCCCGCGCGAACCAAAGCCGAGTGTGCGACCCAAATTCCACGACCATGGAGACCGGCGACAGGATTCCTGGGAATTGTTGACGACTGCATTTAGTCGAAGAGACCGAAGCCCATGTCCTCGTCGGACTCCTCCTTCTCTGTTGGCGGCTGTTAGTAAAATTGGTCCGGCTCCAAAACGGCGGCGATGCGCTGTGATAACTTACCGGACTCCTCCTTCTCCTCCTTGGCCTCCTCGGCAGCGGCGCCACCAGCGGCAGCACCGCCGGCAGCAGCACCACCGGCACCGCCCGAAGGGACGGAAGCGAGCTTGGAAGAACCCTCGGCAATGAGCTAGAAGATAAAATAGGTTAGTATGACCAAACGCTCCCAAAAATTCCGCCTACTGTCGTCTTGGGAATCCCATCCGTACCTCGTTGATGTCCTTGCCCTCGAGCTCAGAGATGAGCTTCTCGACGCGGTCATCATCGGCCTCGATACCGACGGAAGAGAGGACCTTCTCGATGTCCTTGGCGCTGGGGCTGGCGTTACCACCGAGGCCGAGGAGGAGGTAAGCTGCGAGGTGCTTCATTTTGAATGGGGGTTTCTAGAGATGGCGATTGTGGGTTAGAGACCAGATTTTGAACTCGCGAGGAACTGCGCCCTTGGTTTTCCAGCAAGAAAAGAGGCGATCGATGACGCGGACGGCGTTGCCTTACAGGTTGTAGAGTGTTAAGTAGAACACGAGAGAACAATCAATTTAACCGCAAGTTGGGCGGAGACTGAGTCTTCGAGTTCTGGTTGAAGTTGAAATTTGGTGGGATGGATTTTTGTGAAGGTAGAAGAAATGTCGGTAATTTTTGCGCGAGAAAGTCTTTGTGCAATTGTGTGTTGTCAAAATGCCCCACCACCCACACAAGTCAGCGCTCTTGCCGCAAATGGTTTTAATTGTTAGTGGGATTAGGGCGGGCTGGAACAAGCCACACAAGCAAGGACACCAGCCCCCTTCAGCCACTTATGATGACATGCTGACATCAAGATGCTGACCAGCTACGAAGTACCTTTGTACCTCAGCACTTATTGTTTGTCGGGACTTGGACGGACTCCTTTTCACATCAAGAAACCTAGTTTAATGCTCATCAAAGGCGGCCTTCATCGATATATTGACATGGGCCTGGGGGCTACCAGGAATCCTGATGTCTCGATTCTCAAGTGCCGCATTCCTTCGGCCTTCGTCTTCCTTTTCTCTCAGAGGAACGCTAACCTCGGAGAAGAATGACGACGGGGGCTAGCGGTCTACTCCAGTCTCACAAATGAGCAAGAAACATGCATCAGGGAAAAAGAAATTTACGCCCGAAAGGAGCAATTGAAATGATTCGAGATTGACCCTGGGGTTACGGCTCAAAAGCCGAGGTGGCACCAGTGCTGCACCCAACCGATTGCATTTCGGGTTGAGCTGTCCGCCAGAGACCCGAAGCTCCTTGCCACACGCGTGGGATCGGGACCGAGCAGAGGGGCGAGGATGGGGGTCCAGCGCAGACAATGATCCAACGCTCAACGCTCAACGCCCTTGAAGGAGCATTTGATGCCACCAACGCTGGCCACCGCATATGCCCCCCAATGTTCGACAGGTCTTCCGGTCTTTCCACTGCTCGCCGCCACTGGTAGTGCGTTTTGTAGTAATAATACATGCAGAAGATATGTCCGACTGTCTTTCCCAGCCAGCTGGACTGGTACTCTCAGCCCATTTCGGCCGAAGGATTCAGGGCACCTTCATTAAAGCAATCGGATGTCTTAGAGCAAGATCAAGCCGGTATATTGGAACGACCGTTCTCCCACTTATACACGATACTTACTGCCGCACACGATGCATTTATAATAGCAACTTGACATATTGCCTTCTCTTTCCCGCCCGTGCCGTTGTTCTACCACACTTGCCTCCCTCACACGTTTCATCACTCCAGATCTCTCTGGTTGTTGGTTTCCTCTAGAACCCTTCCCGTACAGACGGCATACTTGGGGGCTGTGTCGGGCCCTCCTCCAGTCGAATGAATGGCTACGCAAACCCCCGGTAACGACAGTACTTCTTTAAAAACCTCAGTGGCTGCGTCTCCAAGGCATCCTTGCTTGGTCTGCCGCAAGAGGAAAACCAGATGTGGTAGCAGACGGCGTTGTTCTCGGTGCAGCAAACACGATATCGACTGCGGATCCGAGCGAGGCAAGGGTTCCATATTCGCCAGCAAAGGCCGCGATCTCAATGACAGAGATTCTCTTGCCCTTAGGCTACAGCAGTACGAACGCATTCTTCTAGCTCACGGCATAGAGGTCGAAGATAGGGATCCTCTTCTCCCAGGGGACTCGCCTAAGCGAGATGGACCAAGCTTCGCGCTTCAACCAGAATCGAGATCTGGCCATGGTAGCAACGGTTTTCGAGAAGCCTATCAAGCATCCGGCAGACTTGATGATCCTGCCGTGGCAGAACTTCTCATTTGGGGGCGTCCACACTACGTTTCCCTAAGAACCTTGCATCCGACCGTTCCACAAATCATGGTCCTCTGGAATACGTTCCTCAGCAACTTCGACCCGCTAGTGAAGCTATTCCACGCGCCGACTGTTCAAGATACCATCTCGCAGGCGGCCATGGATCTCGACGCGATATCTCAACCGACCGAAGCCCTCATATTTGCTATTTACCTCTCGGCAACTGTCACGCTGAGTGATCAGCAATGTCTCCAGTTTCTTGAGACGCCAAAACAGGTCTTGTTGAAGCGGTTCTCAAATGCAACGCAGCAGGCCTTGGTCAATGCGAAATTTCTCAAATCCAGCGATCTCGCTATCCTCCAGTCGCTCACTTTGTACCTGGTCAGTCCTGTCCTTTTTAAACATCCGTGGTAGTGCCCCATTAGACTGGCGAATATGAGATTAATGCTAACGGGGCTTCTTCTAGCTCGCTATCCGTTCATATCTTGACAAGCAAGCCCTCTGGATATTAGCTGGACTAGCGATTAGATTAGGAGAGACAATGGGAGTACATGATGAGAGGACCCTCCGGTCACTACCACTCTTCGAAGCGGAGCTCTGTCGGCGACTTTGGTCGCAGGTTCTCCTCATAAATGAATGCTCTGGGAAGCACTCCGGCGAGCGAGCTTTAGGTACAAGATCACCCTCAAATTGCAACGACAGCGACCTCTCTCCTTTCATGGTCAGGATACCCGAGGACCAGGAAGGCGGAACGGACATGCTATTCTGCACGTTACACACTCACTTTAGGACCGCGGCGAGGATACTGAGACGCCACGCGAACGATGAGAAACTTCTGCCAATAGAACTCGACGTTCTAGAGGAATTCGAAACAAAGATTGATCGTCTCACTTCAAGATGCGATCCCTCGATTCCACTGCATCTCTTCACAATTCTCGTTGGGCGCTGCGCGATAGCACGTCTTCAGTTCTCCGTTACAGCGAATGCTGCCTTTGCTGAGCATGACGACCTTAGTTCGATGCCCGTGGAGACATGCATCTCGCTCCTTGACAGCGCAATTACAGTTCTTGGATTCGACTGCGAAATCAGATCGAGCCAGACCATTCGTCCCTTCCTCTGGCACCCCGTCGTGCAGTTTCCGTTCGACGCATTCATATACATTCTCACGTCCCTCTGCACCGGAACGGAGGGTAACAGACACAACGCGGCATGGGTCGCGGTGAATAGGGCTTACGAAGACTACCCCGAGTTCTGCGCAGATTCCGACAATCCGCTCTTCTCGGCGGCGGGGGACCTCGCCATAGAGGCTTGGGATAGGAGAATGGATAGGGTGAGGGCGATGAAGCCAATGCAAATGGCCGATCCAGATATGTATCCGCCAGGGAGCATTGAGTACTCGGCTGCGAGTCATGCCATTTCGAAGCTGAAGGAAGGGCGGGCCAGGGTGAGAAACAGCCTCGAGTCTGCACGTGGTACATGGGGTGGGATGGATGAAGGAAGCGATGAAGAAGTCGATGAGGAAGATGAGTTTGAATTTTCGTGGAACGACTGGCAAAGGTTGCTTCAGGACGCTGGATATTTACATATTGGACGGACATACTAATACCATTTATGACCTCAGAGCCTAGAATTTGAAAAAATACCGAGTCCAAGATTGTTCGGGCGTAACCATCTCGTCAAGCTAACATTCGATACGTCTTCCCCTCTCACTGCTACCCCCTTTTTCAGTTCCCATTCTCCCCAAAATTATCCCTCCCGTCCGCAAAAATCCTATCAAAATCATGCTCAAACCACCTAATATCCGGACACAACCCCGCAAACTTCCACACCCCGTCCACCCTCCTATACCAATGCTTGTTCGCCGAATGCGCATGCCCCTTGACCGTCACCCGGGCCCCTTCCTCAGCCGGGTCCCTGTCGTAGCGCTGGTGCGGCACGCGTAGCTGGTGGTAGCCCACGACCTCGTCGGCCGAGACGCGTTCCCAGCGCGAGGCGCCGACGAAGTGCTGCGTCTTGAGGGTGGCGTCGCCGAGGACGGTGGGGCTGGAGATCATGGTTATGAATTCTTCGGCGGGCATGGCTTCCCAGAGTTTATCGAGGAAGGAGCGGTAGTCGATCTGTTTTTTTTCCTCCCGTTCGTTGTTAGAACGTCTTTCTCTGAGCACCTCGGGGTGGGGAGGGAAGGGAAAAAGAAAAAAAATAGGTTATACGATGAAGGCAAGTAACACCATGCACAGCTGCGGAAACAAAGATCATCTTATCAGCATTAGCAAAAATCGGGATGTCCGGTGAATGTGAAGCGCTGAATACCAAGAATTCACTAAAACTTGATACAAATTTGGCTGTTGTGTTGTTCGCATTGTTGCCAAAAGCCAGGAAGTGGGTGGTAGTGGCCCAACCAACAGCTTGTATGGTGTGAGTTGAGTCGCAACGAGCCTCGGCTGCCCAGGTCGTTCTTGTTCTGGGAGATGCTCTCTTCCGTACTCTCCGCCCTAGTCTGTGACGCCCGCCCTTCGTTCCCGCCCTCGCCAACCTATAGTCTTAGCATGTCCCGGGGGGGGGGAGGAGGATATAAGAGGGGGCGGACTTACGCGGAGAGTTGGGGCGATGCATTTTCGGAGGCGGTTCCAGTCTTTGGAGTCGTAGCTGTCAGCCCATTCGTAGAGGGCGGCGTTTAAGCCTAGGTAGTCTAGTTCATGGGAAGTAACCACGAGTTTAGTATCTGTTTCTTCCTGGGGAATGCTAATCAGGGATATCCGCGAGCGCATACCGTCCATGGTGATGGCGGGGATAGTGAGGGTGGTCTCGCCCGCCTTCTCGGTGAGCTCGGTGTAAGTCGAGTTCAGCAGGGTAGCCATTTTCCTCTACTGTTTCTTCAAACTTCAGACTAGACTCAAAATAAATAAATAAAAAATAAAAAAAAGAAAAAAAATAGGTTATACGATGAAGGCAAGTCTCAAGAAGAACGAATATCTTATTTTCGTCGTGTGATTCTCAGCACGGATCCAGACTAACAAAACAGGGGACCAACATCGCCTCTTATAACCACGACCCCAGCCCGAAAGACTCGGTCCCTTTCTAAGTACCACAACCCCGAATTCTCAACTACTCGGCCATGCTATTCCCCCCCTCCCTTCGTGAAACAAAGAGAAAGAAAGCTATCTGGGCTCTACGGTCTGCACCTCCCCACGACGACCCCGCGCCGTCCCGCTCCGGACTTGGCGGTGGGGATGTCCCGGAACGGACCCGCAAAATCACTCCGGGGCTCCAGCCAGACCGCAGCAGCCCTCCAATCTAAGACCCGGGTCGCTGATTCTACTATTCTTAGAAACAAGCAAGTTTATTTACTTCCTCATCCTGTGTCATTTTTAACCAGACTCCGAGACTGTCACCAAACCTGGATGTACGTGCGTGCCACAGTTTCCGGAGTATGCTATCTTGAACCCGGAATCAACTTGACTTCCCCGTGATTCCCTCCCTTCCTTCACCCAGCCCCATTTTCTCTCACTAGTTTTGGAATACTGCGGAATACGATGTTGCCTTGTTTCACAAGGGGCTGTGGCAAGGGAGCCATGAACACCTCGACATCTTCTGCACCCAGCCGCTAGGGCGTCGAGTTTGCTCGAATATTTACTCCAAAGCCACCGCGAGTTCTAGCACCGAAAGTCCACGTTAGTCTTTCGGTTTCGGATTTTGTCGAGCGATGCAACTAGTGGAGAAACGGACAGTCACCTGGGGCTAGAAGGGAGAGGCATTCCACAAATGAAACAGTACATTCAAATGGCTAAGACATATCGAGGTATCTATACTTGTAGCTGGCCTTCCATGCCGCTTCTCTGATATAAAGAGGAAGGGTGAAAAAGAAAGGTAGAAGATAAAATGAAATAATTCTCCTAGACACGTCAGGTTTGAACAAACTAGGTAGAGAAACCGGAACTCCTCCGCTCGGGCCAAAGCACACCAACCGCTTTTTCGAGGGTAAGAAGATGCATCAAAGATCAAGAAGAAAAGCATCCAAGAAAAGTAAATAAAAAATGAGGTTGGATATCCAAATAAATTTCACCTGGCCCTGCGTCAATCTTCCCTTGATTCGTCGTATACAAAAACAATGTCCCCGTCGTTGCATGGCATTAAGGACACGAAATACAGCCTAGATGCCAAGGTGTACACACGCACTCCTTCACGCCGCCTAAGAGCCAGCCCTGCGAACCCAGAGAGTCGTGGGTTCAAACTCCGCCTCGCGGTCTTGACGTTTGTAGGCCCTGTGAAGTTTCAACCCCAGCTCATACTCCTCGCGCTGCACTTCGGAAAGCTCGAGCTTGAGGCCCTCGATCTTAATCTTCTCGATTTCGCGCTTCTTGAGCACGGCATCGCTCGCCATGAGGTTGTCTGTCGGCATCATCTCCGTCATTTTCTTGATGCTCCTGTTGATGTTGATTCGTCGGTTCGCAAGCGACTCGAGACGAGCGTTGAGGTAGCCTACTCGGTCATTGCCGTGGCGTGCCTCTGGCGGAGCGGGAGGGAGAGCCTTGCTAGTCGAGGCGACCGAGCCCGGACGTCCATCGTTGCCGAACACCGAAGAGCCAGAGTCGCCCCACGTATTCGATCGCACATAGTTGGGGATGGCGTCGCGTGGTCCCATCGGCTTAGCTGCCTTGGCTCGATCTGGCGATGAGGTCGTGTAGGGACTCGACATATATGGTTGATTCATGGTGATGACGACGTTGTCCTTTCGGCTGGGTGACGAGGAAGTGGTTTGCAGCTGGGAAAAGGCCTGGGGAGGCGTCGGCATAGGAGGACGATCGGCGTCGATTGACAGACTGGGCGATCCGGTGTGCGCAGACGTCGCATATGTGGTGACGCTGAATCGAGAAGGAGGCTGAACCCAATTATCCTCGGCGACCGTCGCCGCGGGCTGGGTCGCGGGGCCCGAGGCGGGGCTATGGGTCGTGACGGTGATGTTGCTAACGTTCGTTGTAACGTTGGAGTAATTTATCGGCGCGGGGTCGAACTGAGAGTACACAGACGATGCTGTCGAAAAGTGGGGATTGTGGTGGGCTGGAGGACGATTCGTCGCTGTTGTTCCTGCATTGCTAGCCGTTGGCGGCGAGGAGGTTGTCGGAGCCGCCGTTGTCGATGTCGCAGGCTTTCTACGAATTGCCTTTGTCGCATCGATATTAATAGTAGAAGAAGGGATAGGGGCAGGGGCGGCAGTGGCGGGAGCCGAGTCCAAGCGATAATTTGGCAGGGATCCGGTTACTGGCTGGATTGGGCTCGAGGGACCCGTCGCATAAGATCCTGGAATGGCAGACCCCGAATTGGGTGGGCTTGGGTAGTCTTTCCCAGGGGCTCGAGTCGATATGCTGGGGTCTGGGCTTGCCAAGGGAGAGGGAATAGGCTTTCTAGTGGCTGTGGTGGTGGTGGGGTCATCTGGTCGACTCAATGATGTTTCAGATCCCGAGGGGCTCACAGGTGAAAGCGACAGTGGGCCGCCAGGACCACCACGCGCACCTCGGCTTACATTTGGCGAGCGTTTGCTGCTCTTCCGAGGAATGTGCAGAGGCGGGTCTTGTGGAGTGTCGTGAACAGGGTCGACAAGCGCGACTCGGCCGCTGCCACCCTTCCACTCAGGCCGTGCAGTAAGGCTCGAATTCCGGGGCGGTCGTGCTGTTGCTGATACCTGGACTGGTGGTGCTGTCGGCGACCGCTCTGGCACACGCGGTTCAGGCTCGGGGCTGAGAGGCGCAGATCTCGTGGGGATTCCTGAAGGAGAAGAAGGGCCGGTCGACTCGCCGCCTCGTATTCTCCTAACCTTGTCGCTAAAATTGTTCTGGGCACTTCGTAATCTCGACAACGCGCTCGAAGCGGGGTTGCTGTGGGTTCCGAACTCTTGGGCGTATTCCGCGGGTTTGACCTGAGCCGAGTAGCCCTTGGGGCCCAAAGTTGGTTCCCCAGTCATAGCATCCCACTTCATCTCACGACCCTTCGCCATCTTAAATACCTGCCTTCCCGTGGCGGTTTGGGTGCTGGGTCCTCCCGGGTAGGCTGCGGCGGCATCGGATGAGACGCCCTGCTGCTGTTGGCTACGGTCTCGCAAGCGCTCCCTAGATTTCGTCTCCCTCAAAGTGGCAGCAGCGGCCTCTTGAGTCTGTCGACGCTGGCGTCGCATCATGGGAATGTTGCTCTTAGGCTGGGATGTCGAGGCTTGTCTCGTAGGCTGCTGGTCAAAGCCCGACTTGTCGGGGAGCTCATCGATTGGGGAGACATCGCGTCTGCGAGAAGAAATCCCTGTTAGCACATCTTAACCCGGGATCATCGCCATCACGGCGTGTTGCCGGAACAATGGCATGAGGAAGGTGCACTAATCCAACTACATATTCCCAATAGAGTGGTCTCCGAAATCTGGCGGTGGTAATTTCTTGGGTTCACGAAAAAGGAAACCACGCGCCTTCCTACCCAACCGCACATTGAGCCCGGTACCTGGCACACCTAGCTATCAAAGGTCACAGACAACCTATGGCCATGTCCTCCTTCCCGAGCTCGGCCGCTATATCGGCTCCAACGACTCCAACGACTCCAGCATGGCCACATAGGAAGCAGGAACGGGATCGTAATTGCGTTCAACTCACCCTTGTCCAGAAGTGCCAATATCAGGCGAGCTCGGCGGCGAGATGCCCTCGGCGCCGGCTCCGTAATAGTTGTAGGTCGCCAGGTTTGCGAAGTCGGCGGTGACGAGGGGGTTGTGAGAGTAGACGGCTGAAGTTGGACGCCAGGTCGAGTTGTTGCGGGTGATCGTTCGACCTCGCGGCTGTGTTGGCGTCTCGAGAGGGGGAGGAATGGATGGAAGGGTCGTTTCGTCGGGGCTTCTGGAAGAAGGGGGTGAACGATGGATGGGGCGCAGTCAGTGTCAAATTCCTGAATTCTTGGATTGGGAGCTCCAGGACCAGACAAAGCGATTGAAGAAGCAATGAGACGGGAGCGAGGGGCAAAGACACAGTCAATGCGAGACAAAAGAAACGTGACAAGTAGTCGAATCAAGCTTGATTCCTTGCTTGAACCGGTCTGCTTGACATGGGAAACGAACACGTCAAAGAAGGAGGATGGATCTGAATGGGGTAACAAACAATAGGCAAGGGGACAATTTGATGGGATGGGCTGAGGAGCCAAACCGCAATAAGACGCGAAACGAGGGCAATATTATTATTCCTCGTCCGTGATGGGGAAGGAGCCGTCGACGGGGGTACAAGGGTGTTGTACTTCCAAATTTGGGGCACTAAAATGCGCAAATCCGCATGCACTCAATTAAAGGGAGGGAAGCGGAGAGGGAAGGAGGGGATGCGATGCCAGTGCAACCTTGACACAACCGCAGGTCCACCTTGACTCCTTAAGCAGTCAAGGCCTGGCAATAGCTGCGGGACCCCTCGTCATTTCGTTGGGGTTATCACCCCTGGCCAGACCCTATTTCCATCCATCATCTGGGATCCAAAAAGGACGTGCGACCGCACGGGAGAGGGTGGCACTCTGCCATCCCACACTCTCAGACGCGCACATGCATGCGCCTGGGGACCACACAACGGATGAAAAAGTCCTGAACCAGAGAGGTGGTATGTCTGGTCATCAATCGCCAAAAAGGTTGCGAGATCCTAATGACAGGACCGGAGCCGCTCTGCCGGGTCTAACATCGACGTTGAGGCCAGCCCAATGAGACGGGGAGGAGGAAAGCGGCGAGCCGAAGCTGAGGAGGGTTTCATGTTTCCCACATCCTCAGTAGAAGAATGGTTTGAACGGCGGAATGGAAGGAATCGAGAAAAGAAACACACCATAAATGGACCAACACTCGTCGGGTCTATTGCAACTGAGACGATGGGCGGGGGTAACGCCAGCTATGCACAAGGGTGGGCGAACGGACGGAGAAATGAACAAGAATAAACAAACTGCTGGCAGGGGAAAGTCTATGAGATTTCAACTTACAGTTCATCCGGAGTCGGTGGAAGAGCGAAAGTTTCCAACGGCGGGCGTACTTGCGGCTTGTAAAACTTGTTGATGATGCCCAGACCCTTGCCCTTGGGCGTTCGAAACTGCTGATGGGTTTGCTGAAAGTCAGTCTCTCCGAGGTTCACCAGGTCCGACCCACGCAGGACAGGCTTTTCCTGGGCGGCAACGCTGGGGATTTGACCGTTGCCTGTAGACTGGTGGCTGTAGTTGTAGTAGAAGACACCCTTTCGTGAACTTGTCCGGGGTGGGGGATCATGAGCTTTTTGCCGGGCCATGGTGAGTTGCATCAATGGCAAGGAGCAACTCGACTGAGGACCAGTATGTGTCAATACTTCGTGCTTGTAGCGGTACACCAGCAGGATGACCTTGGACCAGCAGCCAGCGGCTTAACGTGAGCAATGGCACCTCAGGATGCGCTAAGAAAAGGGATCAACCGGCGGACTCTCCCACTAAACCAGCCCCGAACGCGCTATTACTAGTACGGCGCAGGGGGTTTCGATCTCAAGTTGCAGCCGTTGTAGGGTCGTATTTTGGTTTCTTGATGCAAATAATAGCAAGCGGGGACGATGAGGGGATAATTGGGCGATTTGCCTTGGTTGAGAACGGGAGGCTTGGTTTCAGGTTAAGTGGAAGGACGATCAAGCAGCTTGGTTTGAATGAGAACGGTGGCCCATCCCAGGATCCCTTTTGAGATTGGGGTAATAATGAAGACTCGGTGTTTATTCTCGAATTCGGCGGGCAATTTTTCTGGAAACAGAAACCCTCGATCTCATTTACTTATATTCTCCGGGCCAAGTGCTCGATGTTCCCTTCGATGGTGGGAGGGAGCCGTTCTTGATATGGGTCCCCGGGTGGTTGACAAGACTCGCCTGATAATGTAGAGACCGCGCATAATATTGATATTGTTATTGATGCTGTTTGTTATTGTTGATGCGTTCGCTCGTCAATGCAGCGAGTATGGCATGGCGTACACTGGACTAGCGACCGGTTGTATTGATTGGGAGGAGACCTCCTCGCCAGCCTAGCTTTGTATGTATTGACAGGACTCACTTGGCCACGCGTGGTTGGTGAGGCCGAAGAAACATTCTTTGTCTATAAGTTGTGCAGCCAGTCCTCGGAATACGGGTGAAAGTGGCAGGGCTGGGCTGGGAAGTTATACATCAACATCTGCTCTCTTATAGTGCTTTCCGATTTCTCTTCCCTCTTCTAGTGATTGTAGCAGCATCTCGCTTCCAAGAGATATGAGTCCCACTTCTTTCGGCGCTCCTCTCTCCTCAATCCAGGCAGATTTCCGTGTACTTGCGGCATCTTATGGCAAAGTGTCTGATGAATTGGGCCAATACTTCGTGCGGCTGGGAGTGGGAGCCGACGCGGGTGGTCTATGAGGCTGGGACCACTACGAAATGCGTCAATGCGAGCGGTGGGCAGTGATGAGTGTCGGCTCTATTCTATCGACGCGGACTCACTGGCTCGGGCGTGTTCGTCGCTCCGCGTGGAGTCGAGTGGCTTTCAACCATCGATCGATATAATCCTTGGAGTAGTATTGCCACTGGACAGTAGCCGGGATCAATGACACACTCGCCTTCAGAGGGTAAACATGAACATCAAGATCGGCTGATCGAATGACATTGGGCTCTCTTGGGAGTCAGAGAAAGCAGGATCGCACAGGCAATAGCGGAAGCAATGAATGCCAATACAATTGTAAACAATCGAAGGGTTTGCGTCAGCTCGTGCGTTTCCCCCAAACTCAGCATGAACCAATTGATTGATATCAATTTCACCGTTGATTCTCTCGGCAGTGCATATCCAATTGAGGTCGCAGTTTTGTGGAACTCTCAACTTTAATCGAACTGTTGGCTCCAAAAAGTGGCTGGTTTCATCTTCCTTTTCTTGGCCTGCGTCCATCGACTCCTTCCCAATCCGGTCCAACTCGAGAGGCCTGTGCCTTCTTCAAGCAACGACAATGCAGATATCATCATGGTGAGAAATGCACGATCTCCGGGGTTAGCAGACGACTGCGAAGCAGTATTGGCAAACAGGTCATGCCTAGACAATCAATCGATCTGGCACTCTGCATCGATCGATGCTCTTCCCCATAAGCGAAGCGTGGTTCAAGGTCTCGCAATCCCGACCTGAATCAAACCCATCAACTCTTCAACCACCGACTTGACTTCCCACCACCACCACCAACCTCCAACCTCGCATCACAACAAGAGCCGAACCAACGCTCTCGATCCCCCATCTCCCCACCTCTCAAACAACCTCCTCAGATCAGACGAATCCACCCCCTCCACCTCGCTGCTCTCGCCTCCACCACCGCCCATCATCAGCCCATCGACAACCCCCCAACTCGCGCCTCACCTCGCGGATCCTCCACCCAAGAAAATCGCAACCTTACTTCGCAAAATCCTGTGCTGCTCCGAAAATTTCCCTGGTTTTTTCCCCACCGCGGTGAATCCCGACCCGATTTCATCGACGCCCCCGGGATGAATCAAATTAATTTGATCTCTTCACCCACCACGTGGAAATGCAAAAGAAGTTGAGAAGAACCTTCCTCTGAACATTTCATCATTCACTAGTCTAGGCTTGCTGTACCAAAATCTGCGCTTAAGGCGTAGAGAATGAAAATTACCCAGGTCTTCAATAGCAGATAGAAATAATGGGAGAAGCACTTAGACGGACACACTCACAACGTCGTTCTCTGGTCATCACAGCCAGCAATGAGATGGCAAACATATGCCGACATAACTTACAGCCCTCACAGAATCGTCACATACACTAGCAACAGGGCAATTGTAATTCGTACACAGCTCGGCATTTGTATTTCGAAGCCATCGGTATTAATGATGGCAAATATTATTTTGTCTAATTGATCCCTCGACCAGCCTCCAAAGTAAATATAATACTGTTTCCCATGCCTTCTCCTTCTCCTTTGCGATTGATTGATGGATGTAAGCATCGACCCCAGCCATTCTCCATTCAAGATCAACATCATTGATGTAAACGCCGCCATCCATGTAAATGATAACTCGCCCTTTTCACTACCCGGTAATAGAATAGAGACCAAAGAATCATCAGAAGAAGATTAGTTAAACAGATATTCACCAATTCGATGGTGCCCAAAGAGGAGTTAGGGCAAAGGGGGCATGAACTTCCAAAAGAGGCAGAATAGAAAAACTAAAGGCAATTCTGCAAGAACCCCAAAGCTAGTTTCTGCATTGTGGTGCTGCTTAAAGTCGATTAGACCGACTAGGGGGAGGTGGGAGCTGCGCGGGAATCATATCCACGTCTGACCCCGAATCTGAGTCACTATCGGACCCTCCACCAGCAGCACTCTGAGACAACCGTGGCGGCTTCACCGGCCACTTCAATGTCGACGGAGTCGCTACAGCAGGGCCTTCAGTCCGGAGGCGCTTCGGGGTCGCCGGGGGGATCACTAGTTGACTAGAACGAGCGCTGCGGCGATGGGATGGCGGCCTACCTAACGACGAAGACGTGCCGCCGCGAGTCGGATCGACTCTCTCCGGAACCGCTGGCGTCCCCGTCAAGCCAGAATGGCTCAACGGCGCAGCAACATCGGCCGTCGCTGTTCTGCGCGCTGGGGTCTTCTGTACACGATGATGGCCACTCTCGGCGCCGTCAAGCTGCGTCGGGCGAGAATCTCCACCCGCGCTCACGCGAGCTTTTTTGCTGCGGTGCGAATCCGAAGAGGTTGGCGTGGTAGCACCACTCGGAGTGCCGGTAAGAAGCCGGGCATGGTGCTCTGCGATTTCAGCCTTGCTCCGCCTCTCACGCAACCTGACACCGTACTTCTTGCGAACCATGGACTGCTTAGTGGCCAGGCTGTTCTTCAGATTATCCAGCCGAACCTTTAACTGGGCCATGTCTGTGATTTCCGCCTGTGCTTGGCGCATTTTCTCACCGTACGACTGGTCCGCTTCCAGGAGCTCAGCATTCAGTTCGCTCATTTTTGCCGGAGTTAGATGAGCATAGGGGTCATATGGCCCTGTCGACGTCGTCGCAGGCCCTGGAGTCGCCGGTTTTCGCGCAGCCCCTTGGGCCGGAGACGCCGGGGCTGCATGCTGGATCGCACTGGTGGGCGGATGGTGTATCGGTGCATTCTGTGGGGGCGCAGGCGATCGCGCCGCCCCGATACCGTTCTGATATTGAGATTTGGTAATTACAGGTGTTGCGTTAGGTGGCTGTGGTTGTGGTTGTGATTGTGGTTGTGCGTAAGGCGGTGCCGGTACGGGTGGGGGAACTAGCGTCGCTGGTTGTGGGACGGGGCTGCTTTCGCCGGATGAAATGAGGATAGGCGACCCGGATCGATTCTTATCACGGCCGCGCTGGGTTCCTGGCTCGCTACCACACACCGCATTCCGAATATGATAGTCGACACCATACTTCGTCGAAAAGCACTGGCCACACTGAGGACAGGAGAAGTTTGTAGGCGGGTTTGCGCATACCTTCTTTCTCACGTGCTAAGGAGGGAGGATCAGCTTAGAATGAAACCAACTCTCGCGCATGGAAGAAACTTACGTGATCCCGCACGGCCACGGCAGTGAATTGGCGGTGGCATAGTGGACAGGAGAGAGGAGCACACGCGCTGGAAAGCTGCGCCGGTGGATTCGGGGAAGGGAGGGAGGCTTGGCCGTGGGGCGGCGCTGTTGCCGTCTTCGCTGGTTTGGCTACCGCGGGTGCTCCCTGAGAACCATCTTCGATGATGTCATTTGCATCATAACCGAGACGCTCAGCCCGCGCCAACATGTTTAGCAGCGGCCTCGCACTGATAGTGTCTAACCGTCGTCTCATGGCCTTGTCGAGAAGGCTATCGGGTGCACTGGAAACAATGAGGTCCTCCGCCTTACCGAGGATCTCAGGGGTAGCTTGGCTTAATAATTCTGTGCCTGCCATTCTCATAAACTTGTTTCCGAGGAGCTTCGCTGTTGTTTTTACGGTGCCTAGAGTTGCTCGATCCAACGCCGCGTTCACCTGGCGGCGTGTATCATTAGTCCCGCCCCCCACGCGAATAGCGCTATGGCACATGGAGAAAGCGACTTACCACGAAGGAAAGGTGAGCCTCGTGTCCCGCCAGTGATCTTTCCCAGGTGTCTCTAACGATGCGCCGAAGCGCCTGGGGTGTGACCTTGATAATAACATTGTACAATTCATTGCACTGATCGGCCAAGAGTTGAGCGGGGATAGAGGTGTCGTCCAACAGCGGGAAGCCTAGGCCAGCCACAACGTTCTCCGCCGTGTACGGTCCTTTGTCTGGAGTGGGGAAGGCAAGGCTCCCTTGGCTGGGCACTCCTCTAGAAGCGGCAGATGCAATCGGAGGAGTTGCATTGGGAAGGTTAGGTTGTGGAACGGGGGGCATAGACTGAGGCCGAGTAGGCTGCGTAGTGGTGCTAGGCGGTGGACGTTGAGGCTCCGAGATCTGACGTTGAGAAGGGGGAGTAGGCGTCACGCCGGATCCTACAACCGGGAGCGATGCAGGATTGATCTGAGACCCCGAGATTTCGCTAGAGCCTGCTTGGACAGGAGGAGGAGGTAGTGCATTTGTCGTTGGCGCGCTAATCCCCACGACGAGGACTGGCTGCTGCTTCTCGTCATTCTTTTCCACACCGAGTGATACGATCTTTGCACTCGGTGGCGCCTCCGTAGGGGGAGCTGGAGTAGAACCTGTAGACATGGGATTTCCTTGCTCGGGTCCAGGCGTATGAGTTTGTGGAGGCGTATCCGGTGTGGTTATCGAAGAAGAAAAAAGTCCAGCATCGAGCTGCCGAAGAATGTGATTAGGTGGCTGAGCAGGAACTGAAGGGCTCGTCCCAATGCCGCCAGCAGACGAGCTGCATTCCTGGGGCGGGTTCCCCTGCGCTTCAGCATTCATTGTTGAGATGTTTCCAAGCCACCACTGAGAAGGTGTCGAACAGAGCAAGTGCGACCTAAGTGCAAGCTCAGAGGCTCCGAATATCAAAACTATGTGCAGGTCATGAAGGTGCGCTAAAGAGCCGATGGGCGTGAGCGCTCCTTCTCACACTTGCTAGCGTAATGGCATCAACTTGTTCTAGACGGCGCTGGCACCTTCCCAAGCGCAGCGCAGCTTCGTCGCCCAATTCACCAAGGGCTGGATAATAGTTACGCTGGCAAAACTACAGTTTTCAAAGCAATCGACGAAGGGCGGTGCTGGCTCTCGATTCATGGATTCGCGGCACAAACGCGTCGAGGTTAAGTGTAGTTTAGTCGCATTGAATCATATGGGCATGTGGGTCTCCATAAAGTGGCTTGAGACGGCGAGGAGGAGAAAAGAAAAAAAAAAGTTATAAAACTTATGAAACTTATAAATATAAAAAAGGGGCTATCATAACTTTATATACGAAGTATATATAATCTACTAAGTTAGCCAATTAAAAGTAAAATTTTTATATTTGGTTACGTAATTATTAAGTAAGCTACTATTAATTATTATTTACTAAAATACTTATAACTTATAATTTAGTTAAGATTCGAGTTCTGCTTTAAAGTATAATTCTTTAAATAATAGAATACAAGTGGTCCTCCAACAAGTCCGAACTTCTCATTATCATTTAGATTAATATAAGTGCCATTTGTATCCAAAGCATCCCACCAATGAATGATCCCCGAACACTTCGGGACACCGATTGCCCACCAGACGTCGGCGGATTACCTGAGCCGTCACCCTGGTCCTCCGAGTGAAGAATCAAGAAATCATCTGTCAATCCCACTGGCGAACAGATAGTGCCGTCGGAGCACGGCATCACGACGCTCCAGATACCATATGCGCAGCGTTGCCATGAGTCTGTCATGCAGTTCCATCGTCCCTCTGATCCCTCGCAACTTGATCCTTCCGCTTGACGCGCTGTGACTCCCCTTGGCGAGTGTGGGGAGAATTCATCCGGAAGTTGTGGTGGGACGGCTGCTGTACGAGGGGCTTGGGCGAGGAGTGAGAAGAATACCAGTGCTTGTAGAAAATGTGTCCGTCGTCTTCGTGATCGCGCCATTCTGCTGCGTGGGTGAGGTAGTGATGAACGTCTAAAAAGTGGGTGATGCTGTTGGAAGTCTGGCCTTCCTCTGGGAGAAACAAGTGGTAATTGCTGTGACAAATTCAAGACGTACAGCCCTTCAAGTTAATGAAGTTGATGGACTGTATCTAGCCCATCCCGATGTCTACCTGCCACAGGCTTATATATATCTTTCGTCGTTCTCACATTTTCTTTCTTTTTTTTATATTATTTCTTGGCCTCATGTGTGACTCTGCATGTCGCTGCTACCAAGTGGTAGAGATAACGAGACCAGGATAGCATTATGACCGAGAATCCAAAAGTTGCCAGTCCAATGCTCTCTCCGGCGTCGTGTTGGGCGGCTGGGAACGCACCACTTTGCATCACAAGCTGAAATGGATCGGTTGGATGTTGAGAGAAACATGCAGAAAACCTCCCAGGACGGCACCAAGAGATTGAAGATGTCTTGCATATGAAACGGTGACATGCAAGGTAGGGGATCACCGAAAGATGACGATTCTCAAAGGGGTGGAATAGAGGCTTGGTTGAGAGAAATATACGTCATTAAACTTCAATGTGGCTACCATGTAGTCTAGTCTAAGGCCTTCTATATAACGATGATGGCCGTAAGGGAAATAAAACAAATCCATGACTCCGATGTATGCAACGCTTCCCAGCCCTTGGTCTGCGCTTTATATAAAGCTTCTTCTGTTTTTTTGTTTTTCGTTTTCATTTTTCGTTTCCATCGGTGTCGGCGTATTCATACATCCATATCATAACCCCGTGATTAAGGAAGCGTCTAATTCTGCTCTTACAAAGGGGAGGAAAAAAAGGAAAAGAAAAAAAGGGAAAATGTGAGAGATGTAAGTGTCATTCTGAAGTGATTCCCGGCGGGTTAGTCGGCCTGACGAAATCGGTAAAAGACCGTTCCGTTCCAAGCCGGGATCTCGGAGCTAAATTGGACGGAAGGCGATTCGGCGAGGCCGGTTGAAAGTGGAATTTCGGCTTTCAAGATTGTGGTGGGAGCAGCAGTCTGTTCCGAGATGGGATTCCAGATGGAGACTGGAATGTTCGAGCTGGGGGACTCGGGGAAGAAAGCGGTTGGTTCCGGTTGAGAATCAACAACTGTAGTGTGAGTCGGTAGATTATCATCGATCGTAGAGCTGGAGCTTAACAGCTGAGTAGAGGATCTAGAGGATGAGTTCAACGGCGTGTTCCAGTCCGAGTCTGACTCGGGTGGTGTCCATGGAAGCACCGTGACCACAAAACCTGGATCCGAAGTAACAGTCTGGTGAACGAGGGTTACGGATGTGCTGGACGTCGGGAGAGGAGAGGTAGTGATGCTTGTGCTGGAGGAGGAGGAAGAGTTGGTGGTGGAGGATGGAGATGTCGAACTCGACTTCTTCGAGGAGGAAGGGGTAAGGTTGTTCTGATACACTGTCACGGTAGCTTGGCTTTGACCATTGGTCTCCTTGACGCCCACGACGGGGATCACCGCGTCGGTTGTGGATGTGGCCTTTGGCGATGAATGTATTTGTGTGTGTGTGACGGTGACAGGAGGCTCGGGGTCTTTAGTGACGGTGCGTGTGATAGTGACCTCTTTATCGCCGTCCCCATCGTCGCCACCGTCAGAGAAGCCCGGCACGTTGGCTTCCGGGTCGACGATATTGACGACGGGGTAATCTAGAACGGCGGCGCTTGGGTTTCGCCCATTCAATCCGAACGGCAGAGCGGAGGAGAGGCAATGGTATGTGGATAGGGCGAGGAGAAAACTGGAGGGTGAAAGGGCCTTCATTTTGTTCAAGATGCTCTCCCCTGGACGAGATAATGTTGCTGCGGGCCGAGAGGAAGTCGTCCAAGCTGAAAGGACGAAGAGATGCAGATCTCCCAAACCTTGGCAACTCTGAAAAGCTTAACTCGACTCCTCGACCAAACCAGGGACCGTGCATGCACCAAGAAAAGAATGAAGATAAAAAGCAGAGTTTATTTAGACCTACATTTTGCTTTGTGCGAATCTACAGTACTTATGAACTTCCATCTCGAGAGTCGAAATTCAGAGGGGTTGGTGTTGTTAGTGCAGGCCAGAGACATCATTTCTCGCTGGGAATTTGGGAGGTTGGTGATATGAGACGAAAAATAGATCCGTGCACGCAGGCAGCTTTCCGTTCCGGACCCCTAAATTGAGATGGTGCCTGGCGCCACAATTACATCGATGATGCGGTCTCATTGTTTCGGTTCGCCAGCCACCCATTCTCTGGCTTAGATTATTATTGGACACGCCGTCTGGAGCCTTTTTGCATTGTCCGGGGACGCAACGAAGTCGGCAAGAACAAAGTGGCGTCGAGGTATCGGAGGCGCTAGGGCTCTTACAAGTATAGTTTACTTGGTGAAGTTTTTAGCTCATCGATCCATACGAAGTACTTCATACATTCATACATGCTTCATGACCTCATTTTGCGTTGGGCGGCTTGAGTTGGGCGAGGTTGAAGCGTGGATGTGGCAGTGCACTACAGAGGCTATGCACGGCCACAGTTCAGTCTTCGATGGCGTGGTTCTCGAAATCCATATCAAACGCCACAGCTCAGTGCCCGCGTATGAGTATTGCATCATAGCCCCGCCAATTCCATCTCAGTTTACGTAGAGAGTGAGGGGCTGCCTCAACTGCCACTTCAGTGGTATTACTGGCATCAATCGCAACAGTCTCAGCATGCTCATTGATGGAGTATCGGGTAAGATGGGGAAGGACTTGAACAAACTAAAATAAGCCGCGAAGGAGGTTTCAGCTTTCCTTCTACTATCTTCTCATTCATCTCGAAGTCAAAGTCAAAGTCAATACCCGACTCTCTATCAATCAATCCCCCAAGGCTAGCTCAGCGTCTCGATGACATCGCTGGCCGTTTGTGGGCGCACTTCCTAATTCACCATTTCCAGAACGAGCAACTGCCAAGCGACGCCAGCTCTATAACAATCTCGACCAACCGAAGCTACGATTGCGAAGTCGAATTACAGCAAGCGGCAGGCAGTACGTACTACGTACTACACCAAACTACTTCGTACGAAGTGCGAACAATAAAGGACGTGGAAAGTGGCTTAGCCTCCAAGCCTTCAGGCTTCAGTTCATTTCACTCGTCAAGTCCGTGAAAAAGATGGGGCCCTTGCCGCAACCAGTTCAATTGTCGCTTACCACGCCACACTCTCCGACGAGAATAAAGCCATCAAGATCCCCCACCGAGTCCCCAGGCCCTCCAAACTTTAAATTTATTGTGCTTTCAAGCTACACTACCACGGTACAATTTCTCATTTGAGTCCCTCTTCCGAACCTGGGACCCGGTCTTTTCGCGATGTCGTATCCACCTTACCAAGGCTACGGTCGTAAGTTGAATGTCCCAGTCCCGAACCTCGAGTGCTTCTTGGTCCTCTACAACCAGGCGCCAAAGAAGCAGAGTGCACTCCTTTCTATCGGCCCCATGGTAGCTAACAATCAGCTCTGGCACCCACAGAGCCTCCCCAGCAAGGCTACGGCCAGCAGGGTCAATACTATCAACCTCCTCCCCCGCAAGGGCAAGGGGGGTATGCGCCGCCCCCTCCCCAAGGCCAAGGCTATTATGGTCAGCCACCTCCGAACCAGTACCCTCCTCCGGGAGCTCCCCCGAACCAGCAGTACGGCGGCTATGCGCCGCCTCCGACCCAAGGATACCAACAATACCCGGGGCAGCAAGCCCCTCCCCAGGGTCAGGGATATTACCAGCAACCTCCTCCTCCCCAGGGTCAGTACGGTCAACCTCCTGCGCCGTACGGCGCCCCCCCTTCACCACAACCACCCTATGGCGCTCCCCCGCCAGGCCAATACGGAGCTCCTCCTAACCAATATGGAGCCCCCCCGAATCAATATGGCCAGCCACCTCAGCAGTACGGCGCTCAATACCCTCCCACCCCCGCCAGTCCAGGTTATGGTCCGCCTCAGATTATCAACTGGGACGCGACGGCTGATGCCCAGGCTTGCCGTACCGCCATGAAAGGGTTCGGAACGGATGAGAAGCTCTTGATCCGGACATTGACATCGAAAGATCCTCTGCAGATCGAGGCCCTCAAGGCGTCCTTCCAGCGCCAGTTTAATCGAAACCTAATTAACGACATCGAGAAGGAAACTAGCGGATACCTTGAATATGGTCTCATGGGCGTAGCTCGAGGTCCGCTCCTCAACGACGTATATACCCTCCGAGATGCCCTGAAGGGTGCAGGAACCAACGAGGCCCTCCTCAATGATGTGCTGCTATCCCGGTCAAATGCAGACATCCAGGCTATCAAGGGCGCCTACTACCAGACCTTCTCGCGCCGTCTCGAGGATGATGTAAAGGGCGATTTGAGCGGGAAGACAGAAAGGCACTTCCTCATGGTCCTTGCGGCGACGAGGGCTGAGGACTCCGCACCTGTTGTGCCGCAGCAGGTTGATCAGGATGTACTCGAGATCTACAAGGCGTCGGAAGGCCGAATGGGCACCGACGAATTGCTCATCTGCAGCATATTCACGTCCAGGAATGATAACCAGCTCCGTGCCATTGCGCACGCTTATAAGCAGCGGTATAGCAAAGACTTGGAAAAAGTCATCAAGAGTGTATGTCCCTTACCACATCTTATGCTCCACCCTCTGTTTACGAACCTCGTGATACTGACTCTACTAGGAATTCTCTGGGCATATGGAGGATGCTCTCCTCTACCAGCTCCGCCACGCAAACGACAAGTACATGCACGCCGCCACACTCCTCGAAGATACTATGGCCGGTGCAGGCACGAGGGATAAGCTCCTAACTTCGCGTGTCGTCCGCTACCACTGGGACCGTAACGACCTGAACAACATCCGCGGTGCCTACTCGCAGCGCTTCGGCAGGGACTTGGCGAGGCGTATCAAGGGCGAGACGAGTGGAGATTTCGAGAGATTCCTTTTGTCATGCATCGGAGAGCCTATTTAGTGATTAGGTGGCTTTTTTTTTTCTATGTCCTTTCACGTACTGATATCCGGCCAGTTTTGCGCGGCCACGAGTCTGGGGTTTAATCTTGTTATGAATATGTCTTTATCGGGAAAGCGAAGCTTTCCCAAGGAGTGTTTGAGAATTCATAGATTTCGAAGAACAATACGCAGGGAAAGCACAGCTTGAGCAAGTTCAAATCAGTCCCCCACCCCCCCTTTTCTTCCATTCCATACCCCTCCCCATACCAGAAAAAAAAAAAGATGGCACAGACCACTTTGTTTCGCACTAATCGCTGATTAGGCGGTGAAAAATTTTTATTCCTGTCATTGGTCAGTAGTCACGGGAACATGGTAATGGCTCCGCAAAAACGCGTCATAGTCACCTCTTGCTGGAGGTACGAAGTTAGTGTGCCACTTTTAGCACTATTTCTAACATAACAGAAGCTCGAAAAAATTACGCATCCAGGTTATTTGGAAAGAATGATATGGGTTATTGCTGACTCTTTTTTTCCTTCTTTCTTTTAACTAATATTTCATCGATTTCAGAAGTGGTTTTTTGAAAGTAGCTACTTTTCGGTGGGGTGGGGGGGCGTTTGGTGTAAAAGTGGAAGGGGGGTGAGGGTTCTGTCAGCTGGGGCCAGCCGCAGGCAAAAGGGGGGGTTGAGGGGGGTCTCCCCCCTCATATTCTAAAAAGAAATGGGAACAGAAATGGGAACAGAAATGGGAACTGAAAATGGGAACTGAAATGAAGAAATCAAAATTGGAATGGCTTCAGCCATTCCAATTTCAACGTATGAACTCCGCAAAGCTTCAAGCTTTCCTGGAGTTCTGCTCGCACATATCAACATCAGTGCGAGTAGAGAGTATTTTTTTATTTCTTTACCTCTTCACATGTATTAGTGCTATGCTGAGTGTCAAAGTCTATGAAGTTTACGATTCCCCTGAAAAATCAATACCTCTGAAAACTCCACATTCACTGCTCTTGATTCCTTCTTTAAATCGTAATTATATCTATCCTCCCATGAAAGCATGTTTCCTCAAGTGGCAGGGAAAGCCATGAGGCTTTGTGGAGTGATGGAGCTCCCGGGATCCGCTATGGCACCAGTCCCAGCCCTGCCCTCAGATGCCACCCCGAATCATTCGTTCTGTTTTGTTGGGTTTGGAGAGGATGGCGTCCGTCCTTTTGTGGACGTAGGTGCAGGTGTTATCCTTTCTTCCTGTGCCGGCTCCCCCGTGGAACCATTAATGGCCTTCTCGGTGTCGGCGCCTGACTTTGGTGGATTTTCAGAGTCCCTCCTCAAATTCAGCCCACCACTCCAACCGAACCAGCCTGGTTCACGAGGGCCCTTGAAGAGGCAGACGAGGATAGAAAACCCAACAAATGCCACTTTTCAAACGAGGGATAAGTTAAGATTTATATATCGCAAAACCAGTTGGCAGACTACCCGGAAAAAACGGGGATAGGACTTACTGCAGCTCCCACCACTCCACGTCCATCCGCCCGCATGGTACAGTCGGTTCCCAATCGCAGTTCCGGACAGCTGCCCAACAAAAGCCATGACCATGTAAGCCGTGTTGAGCCTATTCCTCGCCTTGGGGTTGATCGAATAGATCGCAGCCCTGTTCGCCGTCTGTGCCATCTGGATGCCAACGTCTACGGTGACGGCTTGTATGACGGGCCCGGCCACGGTAAATTTGCCCGTGAAAGTGCTGATCGTAATGCCGGTGAAGGCGGCGATTTGACCGAGAAGGGATGACATCCACGGAACGTAGCGGTCAGTGACGAGGCGGCCATACACAGGGCCGCCGGCTATGGATGCTATTCCGATGAGAGAGAATAGACCGATTGTGAGGGACGAATAGTTATACGGCGGTGAGGAGAGAAGGAAGGTCAACGTCGTCCAGAAAGCGGTGAAGCAGGCGCTCATACAGGCGGTGATGAGGCACACCTGGACCAGAAGCGGCTCCGTGAAGAACATGTAAACGATGGACCAAAGCATGCGAAGGTAGTTGAGGCCGTTTGGGTTGGTGGACGGATAGTCCGGCATGAAGAAGTAGAGGGCCACTAGGAGGAGATGCTGGGCGCCGAAGGAAAACCAGTAGATGTTCCGCCAGTCGGTCTCGTTGGAGACGATGCCGGAGAGGAGGCGGGCGACGAGCATTCCGAGCATAAGGCCCGAAACGACGATCGAGATGGAACTTGCTTTGCGGTGCGCTGGGGCGTAGTCACCCACCAGCGGTAGCATGAGCTGGGGGGTTACTGTCGTTGCGCCGCAGATGAAGGAGAGGACGGTGAAAACGGTGAAATTGTTGGTAATGCAGAGACCGAGCCACTGAGGGAGAGGTCTGAGTATACTTGGGTCTTTTTTTGTTTAGTTTGGGCAAGGGAGAAGACTTACCACCATGGCAGTAAGCCAGATCAAAGAGAGGATGAAGGGGCGCCTCTTGACAGTGTCACCGAGTGGACATATGAACAGGAGTCCGGCGGCATAGCCCGCCTGAAGGAGAGCTGCTACGGAAGAAGCCTTTTCATAGGAAACATTGAAAGTCTCTGCAATCTTGTTTAGGATAGGTTGGTTATAATAGAGATTCGCTACGGTGAAGCACGCAGACTTCGAAAATGTTAGAACATATTGTTTCCTGACAACAATAACACGATATCGCTTACAAAGGCATATAGAATATTAAGAGCGAAAGTGAACGGGGGCGGGTTCTCAGGGTCGAAACGACAGCGCTTGGGAGTCCATGTAAGCGCCCGCCGTAAAGCGGAGAATGGTCGGGAGGATTTTGCATTTTGCCGTTCTTCTATCGAGCCGGTATATAGATCTCCTGCCCCCGATGCTGCCGCCGACGAAGGTCCGGAATTAGGTTTGTCGTCTTTGTCGCTCGAGTCTAAGACCGGGAGAGACTGGGATGCCCTCGGCTCAAATCCCGTTGAAGACTCCGCGGTCTGGTTGGTTTTACCTTCACCGGGCCCGTCTGACTGATCAGAGATTGTCGGGTCCGCCGCGGCGGGGTTCGGGGTTTTCATCTCGACACAGGGAACATGTATGGGAGCTTCAATGGAGCTTCAATGGCAAGAATACGTAAAAGAGAGAAGAATAGCATTGATCCCTACTAGTCAGAGAAGCGTAGAAAAGAACGAATTCCTTCGGACTGCCGATTACAAGAACCGTATTTAGTGTGGAGTGGAGAGAAGTCTGCCAATGTCCAACACTCTTCAACGGATGGGGAGTCAGTGACTGCACGCCATCAAAGTCCGCATTACTGTTATCGCCACGGGATGACGAAGACTTGACAAGACATTGTAAGGAAACAGTTTGAAGGAGCAAAGACTCTATAGAGGATTAATAATGTCAAATGCAAGTTGATGGGACCATTTGCCGAAGCAGACGCCCTTTCGCTCCGTTATCTGGGACATCGGTTACTCCTTCGCAGTCACGAAGCGGTTGGTGTACATTGCTTCGTGCTTCGGCGTTCGGCACAGGCATCAAGGTCCGATCTGGTGCCGACATAACCCTGAATTTTGGGGGCAGAACTTTGTGTGGTTGCCAAGATTGCGCACCAGAGTTGAAAGGGTCTAGACGAAAATGGACCTGGGGAGTGAAAGGCGGACCGGAGCCGAGACCGACGGGCGGGATTCGACGGAACCAACTGAAGGCATATCTTGATGACTCATCATTTTGTCGAATCAAGTATGACTCTGACGGAATTCGACCCCACTATTGTGAACGGTTTATAAAGACAATCTAGAAACGACAAAAGTAACATCCGATGTAGTATAGTGGTTAGTATACTGCGCTTTCAACGGAAGGCACCGCAGGGGCCGGGGTTCGATTCCCCGCATCGGAGCTTTAATTTTCTTTTTTTGCCGATCTTGCGATTTTAATGGTACAGTCTCTTAACCATACTCGACGATTTCTTGCTTTGCCCTCTGTCTTCTTATTCCCTTCTTCTTCTTCTTTCCTTCCTTTCCTTCCCGTCTTCCTCTTCTTTTATTGCGGTTGTTTCACAGCATAGTTTCATAAACTCACCTTGTCCGAAACCTATCGAGCAGGAAATTGCTGGCTTAAACGAAGCGCTCACGCAAACAAGCAGGACCACGCGGGCAAACATTCGAAGACATACTAACGGACTCCGGGACTGAATTGATATACAGTTGCTCTCGTCGAATATCGGCAACTAAAGGCCGGAGACTGACGACATTTACACTGAATCTAGAACCTTGCAACCCCCACTCCAACTATGAGACCCTCTAATCGGCGAACTGCACCTGCAGCTCTTCGCTTTTACTCTCGCATTAAATATATCCCGATAATCACGGTGACTATCTTCACGACTACAGTCCTAGGTGTACCATCCCTCGACTTCACCGTCACATGCAGATGTTGATGTCTTCATCGACTGTAATATAATACCAATAAAATCCGTCGATTCGGACGGGTTGATTGCATCTTCTGCTCTCATCGAGAAATTGGAAGGCATTGGACGAAGATTATGAATTTTATGTACGAATTTAAATGAATATTTCCAATGTAAATGGACCAAGCTAGTATGTCCAACTCGATGTCCTTTGTCTACACAGAAAGCAGCACAGTGAGTGTGCCTCGGTGGATGAGTGAAGTCCAACAGTGAAGCGCAATCAATTGTTTAGTCATCCATAACGACGACGCATCAAAACCGCACCAAATTTTCTTGGCCTCCGAATGAATCTTTTCTTCTCCACGATACACGCACCCAAGTCTACGAGGTCAGGGCCTTCAAAGCTCCTAACCTCGACCCTTCACTAAGGAATTCTCCACACCTGGTTCTATTCCGGGCCTTGTGCTAGGGGAAATTGGAGTGCTAGATTACAGCATCCCGTCGGTTTGAGGGAAGTCGTAGCTTATCCTTTTTTTCTTGTGACGGCTTCCCATGGTAGTGACGGTGACATCCGCCTTCTCTCTCATGGAACTTTCTCGATATAGAGTTCCTTTTTTTTCCTATAGGCGATCCCTGAATTGGATTACTCGGAAGATCTTGTAGGCGTGTAGATGAACCGGCAGACTATGAGCTGCTCCTCGAAATTAAGTTGAACTAATTCCCTAGCTCTAGCTACGCAGCAATGAATGTTGAATTTGTTTTTCCCTCAACCCAGTTTCCCCAAGAAGCTTATAAGATGCCGTCTAGTTCCCTCGTACATATATCCATCGTATTCTATTCCCTATCCCTGGAGCCGTGTGGCCGCTTACTCGCCCTTGTAATAGCGGGTAGGAACGAAAGGCATCTTGCTCACCGTCGCGCTCCTCTTCCGTCCCCTAACCAGCACATCAACCTCAGTCCCCGACTTCTGGAACCCATCCTTGATGTACCCCATGGCGATGTTCTTGCCCAGCGAGGGACTCGGCGAGCCGCTCGTAACAACGCCAATCTTCTCGCCCTCCTTCGAGTGGATCTCGGCACCCTCTCGCGCAGGCGCACCGTTGACGATGAGCCCAATGCGTCGCCTCTCAACGCCCTGTCCACCCTTGGACTTGGGCACGAGCTGCGGGAGGATGGTCTCGGCTCCGTTGAAGCCGCCGGACTTGCGGCGCTCAGGCGAGATGATCCAGGAGAGACCGGCCTCTACGGGCGTCGTCGTGTCGTCTAGGTCGTGGCCGTACAGACACATGCCGGCTTCGAGGCGGAGACTGTCTCGGGCGCCGAGGCCGGCGAGCTGTAGCCGCTCAGGGCCTGCGACTGAGAGGAGGGTCTCGGTTATGGCGGTGAGCTCCTTGACGGGGTTTCCCTCTCCGTCGGGGAGGATAAGTGATATCTCAAAGCCGTCCTCGCCGGTGTAGCCTCCACGGCCGATCAAGACCTCCCGCGACTTCGACCCGTCTGCTAGTCTGAGCTGGGCATAGGTGGAGTGTCCAAAGTAGAGCTTGGAGAGATCCACTCCCTCAATAATCTCCTTCAAAATCCCCTCGCTCTCAGGTCCTTGCAACGCGACAAGCCCAACATTTTCCTCGACGCGCCAGACGTCCTTGGCCGAGATGCCCATGCCCTGAAGCTGCTCCCCGATAAACTTCAAATCCTTCTCGCGGCACCCGGCGTTCGACACGACGTAAAACTTGTCTCCCGTCAACCTCGTAATCATAAGGTCATCCACGATGCCTCCCGTCGGCCACAGCAGCGTGCTCAACCTCGACTGCATCTCGCCAATGGCGCCCGTCTCGACCGGCGTCATCCGCTCGAGAGCCTCCACCGCCGCGGGGCCCGTAAACGTATGCTGCACCATGTGGCTCACATCGAAAAGGCTGGCCTTGGTCCGCGTGAACTTGTGCGAGTCGCCGACGCTGAGGCTAGAGTATTGCACGGGCATCGAGTACCCCGCGAAGGGGACCATCTTGGCGCCCTGCGCTACGTGGAAGTCGTAGAGGGGGGTCTTCTTGATGTCCGAGGAGGAGGAGGACGACCATCTTGCCGAGGAGACGGGCTTCAAGGTTGGGAGGGCGGTGTGCTGCCTCAATGGCTTCAGGGCGGTGCGTAATCTCTTCATTTTTGGGGGAGTGAACTGGGCCGAGGTCAACGGGGGAGCTATGCGAGGTTGGCAGAGGATGGCTGTCGAGGAAGAATATGCAGTATGTCCACTGGAGGTCCACGAGAATTTGAAGCGCGATGGAGTGGGGGATCGTACAAGAGACGAATTGGATTGGATTCCGCGAGCCACTCGTTGAAATTATGGATTGACCCCAGAAAGAGTCTAGATCAATCCATCGTCGTCGGCTTGAATCGGGGAATTTAGCGTCATATCATTCGGTGACTCTAATCGTGCCGATGTTCGGCTCCGCCAGAACCCGATACAGTGATAAATTCGCTTTTCGTACTAAGATGCACTTGATAAACTTCAACTTAGGATTTCAACTTGCTCAAGACCTACCTCACTCAGAACCTGACGCTGGTCTCGCTTATCCATGTTAGACGTCTTTAGCCAACTAGGCAATATAACCCCCTCCGTTCGTCCTTGACTAAGGGCGGCCCATGAGCAAGACTTTTAAAATCAGAGCCCAGAAATCAAATTGATCTTTGAAGCTTCAAGACTGCAGGTGAATTCCTGTAAATGAAGGAGCTCTAGTTTCACGTATTCCCGCGTACCCAATACCGCCGCCTCATGGCTATGGAATACCAAATAAAAAGAAGAAGAAAAAAAGTTAAGAGAAAACAGAAAATAGTACGAGAACTGCGTACCACTCGACCTAGTCTGAAGGTCCCAAGACTCTCCTTTCTATACATCGTACGTAGTCCGTATCCCGACGGCTTACTTGCTGCTCTCAAAGCTATACTTCAACCACCCTCCAAGCGCCCTCAAGCTCTCCCACCTAACGTTCTCATCAGTCTCATCCATAAGCTCCATGACGCGCTTCTTCAGTCCTAGCCTCTCAAGCTGATGCCTCTTTTCGGGCGCCTCCCGTACAAGCCAACCTATATCGTTGCAGGCAATAGCAAGCACAGCCTTGTCCTGGTCCCACGACCTGTTCATGATATCCTTGAGCTTCTTAGGAAGTGACCCGTTCTCGTATTCGAGGATCTTTCTGGCGTTCTCCGCCCAAAACATTGCGTTCCTATGGGGTGGCGACCAGCGAAGATGGCCGGAGTTGACCTCTGCTACGTATTCGTCGAAGGTAGTCTTAGTCCTAGTATAGTCTTCGAGGAGCTCCTTGAGCGAGGAGAGGTCTTCCAGGAGATCGCGATCGGTGAAGTGGCGACCAGTTAAGTTATCAAGTAGACTGGGGAGCCTCGCGAGGACGGCCGTCGGAAGCAGGGATCTTTGGTTCTTTTCGAGCAGATTCCAGAGTGTGGCAATAATGAGTCGAGAGGTCTTCTCCTTGGGAGAAACCCGCAGAAGCTGAGTATATAGGATGACGATGTCATATTCACTGCGGTCAAGGAAATGGTTAGATATTATACCATGGCAAAGCTATATTCGCATCATGGGAAGAGGCATACTCGTTTAGGGCATCGCCAATTTCAGAGGAGTCAAAGCTCAGCTGCCACAACACGAGCAGGACGTGATATAAGAGTTGTAAGCCAACGCCGCCGCTCAGCTGGGCATCTGTCGCTGGGCGGAGGGTGGCGCTGCCGCTCCACAAGCTTGAGGTCGAGCTCTGGGACCCAACGCCGGCAGCCGACCGGAGAATATCTATCATGGGCCTAACGGTCTCGTTCCGCTGGTCCCAAAACTGACGGCGGGTCTGACGCGAGTAGAGAATAGCGGAGAATTGTTGGATGGCGATATCTTGCTTCGGCGCATCGTTGCTCTCGACAAGCTCGGAAAGGTAGCTTAGGGTCTCGGGAAGAGCTTGTCTGGTGGCAGCGGACCCGTCACGAGCGGCTGCCATGATTCCGGTTATGACTTTCGATGCGAGAAGAGGAATGGGATCGTCTAGGGTCTTTGAATGTAGAAGAAGTGGTCGGAGGCTTCGATATGGGTCATCCGAGAGAAGGAGGCTCTTTGCTAAAGTGGGAGCACCTGAGGATAGAAGAAGAAGAGCGGTGTTAGCAGGGAACGATGTAAGGCTGAGTCAACAATCTTGCTTTAGCTCAATAGTCGTGGCCTCAAGGAAGTGCGATAGCGGCTGCCATGTGAGTATTGAGATACGAAGCTGATGTGGATTGATCGATGGTGTATTTTGCACGTGGTGGGGTGGGAGGGGTAGCATAACACATCGAATGAACCTACACTCTATAAGGTCACCAAGGAGCACAAGGAGATACTGTATAATGGCTGGTTGTTTCGCTGCCGACTCGAGGACGCTCAGCCGCGAGGCTGCCTTATCGCCGACCCACAACGCAGTATAGCCGTCGAGATCATTTTCGATGATGGATTTCTTCAACTCGGTCTTCTTGGCACGATCGAGAGCGCGAATCAAGGCAAGCTGACTGTCGGTAACGAGTCCGGACCTTACAGCGCCATCCCAGGGAATCGGCCGTTGCCGGATGTTATTCTGGAGCGAGGCCAGGTATGTGGGGGCCTCGAGCGACATTTTGCAGTTGATGGATAGATGGGGGATTAAGCCAGATATAGGCGAGAAATAGTAACGGCTCCCTCTCCTCAATAGGAGAAAGACCGAGACAAGTGCTGTCGAGACGAGAGAGTGGGGTGTGATGAGAGTTACAACCTGCAGGTACCAAGCGACAAGCCGTCTTGTCGATGGCTGGGGTTGCTGCTGCTGGAGCTTGGGGAAGAAGAAGAGTTCTACGACAAATGGAGAAATGGATGATGGAAGTTGGCGATGGCGCAGGGGAGCTTGGGTGACGTCGCAGACAAGAGCATGGAGCACAGAGCACAGAGCACAGACAGAGCTTGACCAGGCTGGTCGAGGTCTGATTGGAGGAAGGGGCGGGAGATTCTCGAGTGCTGCCAGCTGTTCGCAGTCCCGGCTTGGCTCTATGACAGCCCCTCGTTTTTGGTTGAAGTGAGGGCTAAGAATATCGCTCAAGCTTCCTCCATTGTCTCCTCCCAGGAGCTTACCGCCGACGAGGTATAACGAGCTACGAAGTAGACTTGACTGGATTGTTAAATCCCTATTTAAGAGGTTCATAGAAAAGCCAGCACGCAGAAACTAAGAAAAAGCCTTCGTTGTAATCTAGGAGGTATCTTGTTTCTGTCAGACTCTTAGGCTTCAATATTTCCTCGAGTGCTTCCTCGAGGGCTTCCTCGAGGGCTGTCATGTGGCATCCCTCCCCGGCAGATAAGATCACGGGTTGGGAGCAAGGTTTCCGGTTCACAGCCTCGTCCTCGGAGAGCTCGAGCATATCTCCCTCGCCATGCTGATAAGCCAGCTGATAGCTGTAGCGTACGCCATCATGTGCATGGCTAATTCTTAGTTACTCAACCGCGGAAGCCCGTTTGCGACTTGGTGTGCAACCCGCTGAAGTGTCTCACTTGTTGCACCACATCGCCGGGTGTCTTGCAGCCATCAAAAGTAGCTTCCCGCGAGTCTTACGTTTTCCGCCTTACGCCCACCCCGGTCCCGCATAACCGATGCATGTAGGGCTTGGTCTCTGTCCAGTCATCCGAAGGGCTGGCCCGGGGAGTCTTCGAAGGATGAAAAAAGACGATGAAAAAGAAACACGAAGATAGTCTAATGCGAGGGCGTTGTACTCACACACATACGAAGGCCGGCTCTGGCATGAGAGCATGAGACTGTGAGTGGGGCGGGATGAGGAACATACTTCGTATGTGGAAGCGCTGGGAGGAGCATGAGCCTGAACAACTCATCATCGTATTGACGTTTCCGGCTTGGGCAGGTCGCGGAACTTCGGACCTGTATTAGTGTACGTACGTGTCGGCGGCAATGGTATCAACGGACTGCCGTCCGGGGAGGCGAGAATCTTGATACGATGACAGATTGACGGGTATCGACAATACGGATCTCTCGGTGCTGCTCTAAATCTCTGCTGGATTCCCACCGCCATTCCAATGTGGTGTGGGGTGCGGGTGTTGAAGAAAGAACTTGATCATAGACAACATCAATCCTTTAGCGTAGTGTAGCAAGGTATGGGCGGATCAATGCGAACCATCCAAGCCAGTGCCTCATCGCGCCAGTGTGCTGTATGTGCGCCCAAACTCAGGAACCAGCAGCCTAAAATGGGGCGCCCGACGGGGCGTCGTGACAGCCAGCATCTCCAGGCACCGCTACTGCAACAGTTACTGCCAGCGGGCCCGGGCATCGTGCATGGGTGTCCGCCAAACATGGTCATCAAGGGATGACTCGACCGAAGAAAAATTTTAATTGCAGCAAATTTTTAACCATAAATTCTAGACGAGATTTCAGGATTGTTAATCCTTTTGCAACCGGTATGGATATCAATCCTGAAAGGCAGGAAGGGAATTTGATTTGGTCAATGGGTAACATCGCTGACTGGGTGCGCTGGTGCTGGCAAGTCAGAAGTGCCAGAAAAAAATCGGCGAGGTTGGTGGTGGTCGCAGCGGTCTCCACGAGGTGGTTGGTAGCGCAAAGAATTCCAAGTTCTTCCTCCGCATTGGCCAAAGTCGGTCAAAGTCACTCAAGTCACCCTTGTCAGACTACACGATGCGAGATGCGCTGCCACTTGGTTTGGTTATAATAACCAAGACGTATAATACCTCGCTCTCTCTGCAGCTTAACCTCGCACACCACCCACGCTTTCCCTCTCTCTTTTCTTGATATTTTTTCTTGGGTTGCAGCTGTCCCGATCCTGATTCTCATTATCCATCATTTTGTCTCCGGTACTATTTAAAATTGTCTACTCCATTTGAGACTCGTTCCTGCGTTTTCTTTTAGTCCTGTCTCGCTCAGGACTTAGAGCAACGCAGCCCTGTCTCAGCGTATAAGTCGAAGCAGGTTTATTTCCAGTCCTCGGGAACTTGGTCGCGACTGCCCCAACAAGTCCACCGCCGAAAAGGTCAGAAAGAAAGAGAAAATTACGAAGAAATCCCCCGTTCAAGCAATCAGACAATTGGCAATTGGAAAGAGGTGGCCAAGGAAACGGACGAAAAGTGGCCAGAGGCCGGGCGTGAGCCCACACACCACCACACTCCCCACCACCGATACACAACATCATTGCTCAGCTTGATCAATCAACCTCATCCCCGCGTTTGTCAACTCGCACCACCCTTGCCTTGCGTGTAAGGGGTGAGGCGAATTGAGCCTTGAATCTGAGTTGCGAACAGCTTCATAAAATAATTCCGGCATCGAGTTCTTTACCGGGCTCTTTGTCTGTTTTTTTTTTTTTTCTTTGTCGAGGAAAGGGTGCGACGTCGGGGCGGAGAGCTACGTACAAAATGAGAACCTTCAGTCCAACACGGCAAGGAAAGCCCGCGCTCCTCTCGGCCTTGTTCCTCATTCTCCTTCACTCCACCCAACCCGTCCGAGCTGTTCCTTATCCCCGCGACGACCTCCATGATGCCGGCTACTCGTTTCTCATGCCTCGCGCCTGTGAGCAATACTGTGGAGCCGACAATCGGTATTGTTGCCAAGCGGGAACCTCTTGCACCACGGAAGGCGCCATTGCTATGTGCGTCGGTGGTCAGGGTATTTACACCACAACATGGACCGAAACCAAGACTTACACGAGCACTGTGACGAGCGATTGGCCTGCTGCCGCTGCTACTCCCGTCGACGAATCCGTGCCTTGCGTACCGCAAAGTAGCGACTGGACCCCGTGCGGATGGGTATGTTGCGACTGGTGGCAAGAATGTGCCGTTGAGGGCCAGTGCCGACCGAAGCCCGGTTACGAGGGTGGTGTCGGCGGAGGCGGAGGTGGTGGAGGAGGCGGCGCGGGTACCGTCGTCACCACTAACGGCCAAGTGACGACCTTATTTTCTGCACCATTCCGGGTCACTGGAACCGGAAGTGCAGCTCCTAGCCAAACCTTCGTCTCGGGCCAGGAGCCGCAAGAAGACGGCGGCTCTGGCCTCAGTGGTGGAGCTATTGCCGGTATCGTTATTGGCGCTCTCGCTGGCATCGGTCTTCTCTTCCTCCTATGCTTCTGCTGCATCGCCAAGGGTATCCTCGGCGCCATCTTCGGTAGGAAGAAGAAGAAGGAGCGGACGCGAGAGGAGATTGTTGAGGAGCGCTACACTAGGAGTAGCCATGCGCCCTCGAGCTACTTCACCAAGCGAGGCACGCATAGCTCCTGGTACGGTAGCTCCTCGAGCCCCAGGCGCAGTGAGAAGAAGAAGTCGAGTGGTGGTAAATGGCTGGGCATTGGCGCGGCTGCGGCTACACTGCTGGCGCTTCTGAACATCAAGAAGGACAAAAAGCCTCCGTCGAGGCGTACACCCACGATGTATACCGATTCGTACACCTACAGCTACACCGATTCGAGTCCAAGTAAGTTTTTCCCCCTGCAGGATGGAATCACGACTTGGAGAATCCAAACTCATCTAACATTCCTAGTAGGCAGTTCAAGCGCCGGAGGGTCGAAACACCCAAGCAGCCGCACTCACCGAAGCCACCGCTCTTCCCACCGCTCACACTACACCGAACGTACTCGCCACACGGGAAGGACGAGTAGGAGAAGCTCGGCTCACTAGCCACCTCCCTCCGTGCTTTTCCCTTAACAAAACTTACTCCCCTTTTCTAACTCGTCTGTATATCTGAGGAGCTTGACATTAAACCATCTTCATCATGGTCGTCACTTTCTAGTCCTCTCTAAGAGTATTTTTCAGCACAAACAATGCCAGGAGCCCTGCGCTCTCTTGAGCCCTCCCCACACCCCCCTTTATTCACTACCCGTACATATCACACACATTTCACTTGAGGCTTTTGTGTTCCTTTTACATCATTTTTTTCATTGAGCCCACATGTTCCATGGAAACGGCGTTTGGTAACAGGATACACACGTTTATACGATGATGTTTGAACGAGATGCTAGCTGATGACAGAGAGGCATGGATGAATTGGGATGGAAATGCCACAATCAGGCAAGACGTATTAAAAGAATAATAAATGAATGAGATCTCTGAGAATTAACTCTCACTTTTACTTGGTTCGACGTCGATCGAGATGGACAATCTAGGATCGATTGTGCGTGCCATCGTGACCTTATATTGTGCCATATCACACAAAGGTACCTTGACCAAAGATGGGAGTCTTTGGAAATGAAGAACTAGAAACAGAACTCGACGGATCGGCCCCATAGACCCTCATCTCTTCGCATTCATCTCCCATGGCTACGCTCTCCTGGGAAACTGCAATCCGAATTCGAGCGCATGACTCTAAGGACGAAACCTCTGAATACCTCGTGCATTTCCGGGTACGGAGCAGGCAATAGCAGATAAGAGATGACTTGCAAATGATTGACTGTCCCTTTGCGAATATGAAGCTCGGTGACGAAACCGGTTGCACATGCCCCAAGGCTACCTTCAATTCTATCATTAAAGTACATAAGCCATTTCGTGGACCAGCACATTCACACGCTGCGGGACGTAGTTCATGGCAGACTCTTTTCATGAAAGATTCTTGTCTTCATTGGTGTTTTTAAGAATGTTCTGTAGCCCCTTTTTTTCGCTACATAAAAATGCAATGAGGAACCCTCTTCACTCCTGGAGACCCATAAACGCAAAAGAAACAAACCATGGCCCGAATCCCTTGCTTTCTTTTACTCAGTCACAATGTTACCCTTCTCCGACACGTAAACGCCGTCAAGGAACTGTAAAAACAGGGCGAGTTAGCGTTTTGCCTACCGCAACGAGGGATCCCGAGGATGAGGTCGTGCTAAGGCCACATATATCCTGACTTGTCCGTTTCACGCACCTTTCGGATATCCTTGTTTCGGACCTTGCAGCTCTGTTGGATATCCGCCGCAGACTGAGAGACGTCCTCGAGAGAGTTACCGCTAAGGATAAGCTCGTCCTTCTGGGCCTTGGAAACCTCGACGTCGACGCCGGGGCGCATGGTCACCCGACGGACGATCTTCTCGCCAATGAAGTTTCTACACATCACCTAAATCAGCACTTGATACCGCCCTCGGAACAACCCTCCTTCATCGCCGTAGCAAGCCATATCCGGAAAGAAAAATCGGCAGGGGAGCTCCTGCCAACTAGCGAATGGGTTGTTCATACCGGATCTCGACTTCGGTGCAGCCAGTCTCCTTGTTCTTCTCCAAGTTGACGTTGATGGGGAAATGGGCATAGACGTATCGGAGCTTGTAGAGGTAGCCCTTGGTGACACCGATAATGAGGTTGTTGAGGATCGTCCTCACGGTTCGGAGAGCGGCAACATTTTTCCTCGATCCGTGGTGAATGAGAATGGCGAGGGTGTTCGGCTTCGGCTTGGTGAAGGAGACGGCGATGTGGCTCAGATCCTTAGAAAGCTTTCCTGTAATCCAAATTTCCCAGTCAGCAACCGCAATGCTGCAACCCCCTCCCATCTTCAAATGTTGCTCCCGTCTCAAATCTCGATCAATCGATCCATCGGCGAGAATTCAAACGATTTCGGGGGGTAAAGCGTACCTCGGGGACCCTCGACGGTAACTAGCCTGGACTTGATGCTGACCTTGACTGTATTCGAAAAATCTCTTGTTAGCAGACCAATTTCGACAGGAGCAAAGCTGCCCCTTCAAAACAGCCGCAGAGGATGAAGAGTAGGGTGGAATCGAACTTACCCCCCTCGGGGATCTCGAGGATCTCTTGCGACTCGATATACTTCATCCTGGCGGTGTCTCTTCAATTGCGTTGTTGAAGAATGGGTATCTCTCTCGCCGGGCTGATCACGAGAATTATTCTTCGGAGCGATAAAATTGGCGGGACCTGTGGGATGCAAAAGTTCTAGGGTTCTGGGCTCGTGTGGGATAATCCTGGTTTTACCGCTATTCTACCGGGCATCAGATTTGAGATTTTCCTTAGTCATGATGTTCTGGGGCAAGACGACACATTCACCAGCCACCGAAGCCACATGTCGATTTTGTTACTGTGGCATGGATATTGGCGCATGCTGAGTCAGCATGAAAGACGGAGGCTTGGGATTCCATTGTGAGCAGCAATACGGATGCTCTCGGTCAAGGAACGACGTCAGCTCCTGCCCCTCTCAATATAACAGAACCACAGCTCGTTGCAGCAGCCGAACAAGCTCGACGTGGACGCCTCCCATCTCCGACTGCATTTCCTAGACGAGGCAACACCTTTCCGAAGTGAGCTATCCCTCAATATCCCAATAATCCGCTGCAGCATCGCCCACCATGTCTTACTTCTTCGCAACCCCCGTCGATATCGACATCGTCCTTGACGACGCCGACGAGAGGCAAATGGTTGATGTCAAGCTCGACAAAAACCGCCGAGAGAAAGCGCCCCTATACATGGATGGAGAGTCGGTGAAAGGTTCTGTTACTATCCGCCCCAAGGACGGAAAACGCCTCGAGCACACTGGCATTAAGGTGCAGTTCATCGGCAGCATAGGTATGCGACCCTTTCTTGAGCAACCTCCGACGGCTCGAGCCCGCCCTAGCTCTTAGGGTACTGGTAACTAACGTCCGTGATGTGTCCGGCTTGATTTAGAAATGTTCTTTGACCGGGGAAACCACTACGAGTTCCTATCACTCGTCCAGGAGCTTGCGGCCCCTGGCGAGCTCCAACACCCTCAGACCTTCGACTTCAACTTTAAGAATGTCGAGAAGCAATACGAGTCATACAACGGCATAAACGTGAAGCTTCGATACTTCGTTCGAGTTACTGTCTCTCGACGCATGGCCGATGTTATCCGGGAGAAGGATATCTGGGTTTACTCTTATCGCGTCGTGCCCGACGTGAACAGCTCAATCAAGATGGATGTCGGTATTGAGGACTGTCTCCACATCGAGTTCGAGTACTCCAAGTCCAAGTATCACTTAAAGGATGTGATTGTGGGAAGGATATACTTCTTGCTAGTTCGCTTGAAGATCAAGCACATGGAGCTGTCAATCATTAGACGAGAGACCACGGGGGCCGCGCCAAACCAATATAACGAGAGTGAGACCTTGGTAAGGTTTGAGGTAAGTCTAACAACATATTCTAGCCTACGCGGAACTACTACCGCTTGGAAAATAGGCGCAAAATAGCTGACGTTTGTAGATCATGGACGGCTCGCCCTCCAGGGGAGAAACAATCCCAATCAGACTCTTCCTCGGCGGCTTCGACCTTACTCCTACGTTTAGGGACGTCAACAAGAAATTTTCCACCAGATATTATCTTAGTTTGGTGCTCATTGACGAAGGTATGCCTCGTATAATCGCTCCTCTCAATTCCATTATTTTCCTTTTACTAGAGACTGACACGACTTTTTGGAACAGACGCTCGGAGATACTTCAAGCAGTCCGAGATTATCCTTTACCGACAAGCCCCTGAGCTACCGGCTCCCGATACACCGGGTGCCCCTCCCCCAGCGGACAACAGGACGATAGCCACTGTCCCCCCTCCTACCGTGCAAGCGTGAAGCCAATCATGAACCCCCGGCTACCGCACAATTTGTTCCTTTTTATACCAAGTCTTGTTGTTCTCCTACTAGACCAGCTACGTTCTTTGTGTATCTATTAGCATATGGGTATGGCGTCCGGTTTTTCTCTCTTTGCTCTTCACGAATCAGGCGGCTAGTCATCGGAGACGAGTTGGCGAAGAAGTGAAAAAAGCGTTTCGGACTGAGATACATGTTAACTGTTTTCTTCTACCCTACGAGATAGCCCTCGTTGTGAGAAAGAAGAGGCGAAAGGGCGGGTGTGAGAAAATAATAATCTACTCCTGTACATTTCATACTTCGCTTTACAGAGACGTTCCGGTATCCTTCCGTTGTGTTCAAAAATGACTCGCACAATATCTTTTTCCCATGATAAATACAAGCAAGCTTAGCCTTGATTTTTTCTTCCTCCCTCGCCACCTTTTACAGAATCTGCATGGCATCATCTGCCTCGAACCCAAATTGATCATTCTGGATAGCCGCAATCCTGTCCAGTTCCTCCTGGTATTGCTTCCGCACATCCGCCAGCGTCACCACCTTCCTCTTGCCAGGCTTCACGCCACCCTCGGTGTCGCTGACCTCTTCGGAAAAGATCCACGCCTGCTTCGGGTTGACGCAACTAAGAGCATTTATGAGTAAAAGATAGTGCCTTGTCACGGGTGTATCGAGGACATCCTCGCCGACAAACTTGTCTCCCTCGCCGGCGGCCTGGAGCTTGTGTATTCTTTCTAGAAGCACGGAGGCGGCTCCCCTATAGTCGTTGCGGCTGATTCGCCACGAGTAGTGGATTTGGTGGTAAGGCACGCCGTGGACAACGTCACCGGAGGAGCGGCATTTCTGGGTGAGGATATCATCAACGGTCGCTGTGAGACCGGTGAAGGGGAGCGAAGTGAGTTCGATGTTGTGGCAGGATTCGCACATCTTGTCAATCAGCTTGCGTAAGCTGGAGTGTTGCACCGCCTGATCCGTCATGGACAGGAGGGCTGCATGTGCCACGTCGAACGAAGAAATGGCCACGGCCGCATTGAACTGACGGCTGAGCATTTCGGCCCGAATAAGCTGCGCTTCGGCCGGGTTGGTAGAGGATATGAACTGAAGTGCTAACCGCGAGAACTCCACGACATAAGAGTATGCCCGAGCCTTTTCGAAGATAGAGACGATATGACAGTAGTATTTCGCCATGCCTTTATAAAGCAGGTTCCATTCGGTGTCATCAAGAAGACCGACGCTATGCCTATCTGTCCCAGCATCTTCAACGCCTAGATGAAATTCAGCAATTAGTACACGCTCATCCCGGACACATACCAAAAGAAAAGGGGAGGGAAAATGAATAAGGCGGGGGTCTAAAATTCACTTACTTAGACCGATAGCCGCCTTCTTAAAGTAAATAGAAGCCGATGAATAGTCCCTCAAGGCGAGGAATACACGGCCTTGAACATATGTCGAGAATGGAGTACGGTCACTGAAGGGGATGAGTTCAGCAGCGAGGTCCGCCCTATCCCTCTTGACGAGGAAGCACTGAATATGTGCTGGTGACAGTTCAATGTCGCTCTCCGGCGAACAAAGGCTAGCCACGATGTCGGTAAGGCTCGAAGCGAGCGGCTCGCGCTTAACATCGCCGAACCCAAGGAGATGTCCGACGCTGCCTTCCAAAGCTGTGATGGTCTGCATTTCGTCGTTCCCGCGTTTCAAGGCTACGGGAGACGACGCTCCACCTCGTTCCATCCGCAGTGGGACAGAGATTTCCGCTTTCGAGAGCCAGCGAAGGAGCTCGAGCCGGCGCAGAACGTCGACTAGCCTTCGGAAGACCGTACCAATGTCCACTCTGTGATGTAGTGCGTCCTCTTCTTGCTCAAATTCGAACTCCATGTGCACCAGCAGGATCAGCTGGCTGAAACACACCTTCCATTGCAGCGCCAAGTTGTCCTGGACTGATTTCACAACAAGTTTTCTACCAAACTCGGTCAAGGGATGGCGGATGTTCCTGTTAGTGGAAGCATCCGGCGCAACAAGGTCAAGAATCTGGTTGTATAAGTCAAGAGTCACGAGGTTAAAATTCTGACCCAGATTTTCGACCACGGGAATGCAATCTTCTTCCGTAACGCCCCGCCAGAACCCAGCTTTGTCGGAGAAGTACTGGATGCGCTCCAAGTCCGTTTTCGTTGTGTCTTCGAAGAGCTCTGGGCGCAGCACGGCATTGCATACTTGCATGATGTTGTCTGGCAAAACATCCAAGAAAGAGAGAGCAGTGGAAACTAGCTTGGCCACATCCTTTTGTGAGCCTTCCGGGCGAGACAGGTTGTGGTAAAGTTTCTCCAGTTGGCTACACTCGCGAATCGCGGAGACAAAGTCGGCGCACACAACCCAGGCCGTGTCCGCAGCCGAGTCCAGCACTAGGGATACGGCCTCGCTTCGCCTTTTATCCAGCTCCACCAGAAGACGGTAAAATCGTCTCCAGTGAATTTCGCTCGCCGACCTGAATTGCTCATAGTCCATGCCGCCAGATGGACCCCGCTCCAACGCGGCTGTAGACGCAAGGACTAAGCATATCGACTCCGGTAGGCTCCTTGGCCCTTTGGACGAGCCCTCGGTCTTCTTCCCCAGGCCACGTTCATATATAGCCAGCGCGGTCTCTAAGGTGGACCTCGTGAAACGACCAGGACAAAGGATCACCTCGAGCCACCTCTCAGTGGAATCGATGGGGTCACAGGGTCCGGATGTTTCAGCCGTGGGAAGGCTAGAGTCGAAATACACGGCATCACTCCCCGACTCCCACGACTCAGTCATCTCCGTCAGTGTAAGCCGAAGTCTTTGGACGCGGTAGGTTGTGTTGTTCTTCCATAGTATCCAAATGTGCAGTTGGGCGTCAGCAATCTCTGAGATGGAAAAATCGGCGAGCGTCCAGGCATCAGAGAGGGATGGCGCATTCGGGATAAAGTGGTCATTGGGGTAAGCATCCTCTAGAATAAGGTTGGAATCGGTTTTTGCCAAGACTTTCCAAAACTTGAACTCGCCTGGACCGATAGGAGAGAAAGTAACGCACACGCCCCGGCCGGGACCCGTCTCAATGATGCGAACCAGGTTTGTTTGGGACGGATCTATTGTCCACTTCCCGATCTCTTGGGGATTTCTCTCGGCATTCAAGATATCGACCGTGTGGAGGATTTGTCCTGTTCGGGGGTTCCATATCCGCATACGATGATCAATACACACCGTAAACAGGAACGAATAGTCCAGACCCAAAGATGACACGTGAACTGACGCAGCAGCGCTATAGTCCATGTTTATCTTCCCATACTTGACTGTGCTGCTTCCGCGGATGGGTAAGAGGTTTCGAAGGCCTTGTGCCCACGTTTGAGAATTATAGTTTGATTCGATCCAGGGGTTCGCAGAAGCTGATGGGGTGTGCGTCGATTAGCAGGGGATTCCTCTACATCGCGGGGGAAGATAGATACTGCACTATAGTACATACCGTCGTGAGCATGGTTCCTATCAAGCCGAACTAAACCCCCGTCATGAAGGGTAACGAGCAGGGTGTTCGCGCCGGCGGCTACCAGTCGATGGGGGTATCTAGACGCCAGTGAGGGGGGAAGGTGCACACGGCAAACATCGCCAATATTAGAATCGAGAGATGACCTGCGGCAAAAAAGATCTGGCCGCAGAGAGAATGAATAGAGGTGATTCGACTGATCAATGACGTAGATGAAGAGCGCATCATGATCGTCGGGTTCAGTCAAGGCCACGCAAGAGGGCTGTATCGGAATGGTGAACTTGAAGTTGAGCACGAGGGACGCGTCGGGCGTCTTGTTTTGCTTGCATACATCCACGGCTCGAACGCTGAGGACGGTCCCATCCTCGAGAACCCTCCACAGGAAGCTGGTGGGGGATGTTGATAGCTTGCGCTGGAAGATTGACGACGCTGGCGACAGGTTTTTTTGCGCAAAAGTAGTTTCTTCATCCAGATCCGTCCCATGACTACCCGTATATCGTCGGTACGCTCCTCTAGAATGCGATGACGGGGCCGGCACTCGAATGTTGGCGACGAAGGCAGAGGACGATGGCTCAAGGTTTAGGCGCGTTTCCTTGAATACGAACGGTGCATCTCTCGACTCCATTTCGGCCCCATGTAGCCGCGCTCGGCGGGAATTCGAAATTAATTACTTGGCGACCGCGCAAGGAATTTGTCGTCGCTGCAAGGGCGGAAGGAAAGAAGGTGTTGGTTGTCGAGAGGGATGGTTCCAGTTATGGTGTCGGATGGGTGAGGTTGATGATGTCGCGAAATATTTTGATTCCAGTGATGAGGTTGAGTTTGTATGGCTCAGGAAGGTGGTACCCGAAATTCACTATTATTTAGTATGCTCCTGCAGTGTACTTGGACGCCTTGACGGTGTGGAAGGTACAACTGGCTCGAATCCTGACGCTAATCCAGAAGAGGAAATTAGCTTCCAGTGCCTTTTCCTGCCTTTTGGGGGGAGGAAGAGGGGCTGTAAGACCTGATGTTGCAAGTGAGGTTTCCAGAAAATGATCACACCTGACTTGAGCAAGCTATCACGTTCAAATTACTGTAATTGATATACGAAGGTAAAATGAATCAAGTTCACAGTTGAAGATACAGGTGAAAATGGCCCTCGAGGTCAGAGAAAAACGGGTGATAGATGTATTCGTAAATTGATATCAACTCTTGCTCGAGGATCAGCCCTTGGTTTGACTTTTCCCCATCAACAAACAGTGAATAGTCCCCTTCGATATAAGTACATATTGTATTATTATCAATGCATTTTGCTCTAACAGATAGGAGGAGCTTGCAACCCAAATACCGAACGCCGGCCATGCACTAATAAAATAGACAGGATTCCCTCATAAGATATGCCCATCGGAATGACCCATTACCCATGCCCGAAACGTCATACAGCATCATTCGTGGCTCTCATTTCCCACGTACGTATACTACTCACTCTTTGTCCACGTCCTTGGGCGCTGGATCTCCAATGCCATCCTCGTTAATGGCAAACAGACAGTCACTCTCGGGCAAGCATGGGCTATCATAAATCTTGGCGATTCTCGTCTCGCCGCGGCCCTTTTTGAGACTGATACGGGTTGTACTTGCGTGGGCAATAATGTTGCCGCCGATGGGCTTCTTCGGGTCCGGATTGAACATGGCGCTCGGACCTCCATCGACCTGCGCGACAACTTGGTTCGTGATCACAACGGCGATGCCGAACTCATCCGCGAGTCTCTGCAATGTACGCATGAACTTGGCAAGGTGGGTTTGTCGTGACGATAGTTCTCCGCGACCTAGGAAGTCGGTTCTGTAAAGGGAAGTAGCGCTATCAACGATGAGCAGCGAAAATCGAGTCTCGCACATCATCGAAGCCGCCTGGTTGAGGAGCTGAAGTTGGTGGTCGGAATTATACGCTCGGGCATACGCGACATTGTCGAGGACTTCTTCCCCGGATAGGCCGAACCTGTTTGCGACTGCCAGAAGACGGACTGGCCGGAACGTACCCTCGGTATCAATGTAGAGACATTTCCCTTCGCCACCTCCCATATCGAATGGGAGCTGACAGGTAACAGCCAGAGTATGACAGATTTGACTCTTCCCCGTTCGGAATTCTCCGAAAAGTTCCGTTACTGAGCCTGTCTCAATTCCTCCTGCCAAGAGAGTGTCTAGATTCTTGGATCCGGTCGTTATACAGATCAACTCACTCCGTCGCTGGTGCATTTCGGTGGCAGTTGTGAAGCCCATAGGAACAAGTTTAGAAGCTGAGAACCAAAAAAATACGTATTAGATTATTTGGTTGAGGCGGGATCTCCTGAATGGAAACGCTCACCTTCACCTAGGATTTTTGCCGCTTTTTGTTCCGATATACCCTTGATCTGCTCGAGGACTCGACGAGGTGTGTAGGCCACAGACTCGACGGTGTTAAAACCCCCATCCATAACAAGTTGAATATCACGCTTCGTAAGTCCCGCAAGTCCCTAAGAAAGCACAATTGTTAGCCAGGCTGCAGGGCCTCGCTACGTGATCGAGCCGATGATGGACGCATACCTCAAGGGCGGTGAGTGGGGTTGGCGCGCCGGGACCTGTCATGCTCATGTCTTCGCCATTGTGATCATCAAAACTCTCTTCCTCGGCCATTTTAAAATATCTACACGAAATTAAATCGAAGGGTTGATTGGAGCAAAAGCTTTTGAATTTCGGATTGCAAGAAAGACATGGAGTTTTAGAAGAAGGAGCGCTTGAGACGGGACGACGCGTTGTGGTGCGAGCCCAAGGAAATAAAGGAGGGGAAGGATACGCCAAGCCACGTGACCTCGCCCCCAAATGCCTAGAAGACCACTTCCCAGGCAGCGAAGAAATCAGGAAGCTATGTTGGATTTAGCCCACTACGCCAAAAACAAGCGACATGCCTCTATAGCGGGTGTCCGATATTGGAGCTAAATCTGTTGTTTCTTTTATTCCAACAGGCTACGAAGTAAACTCGATTCGTTTACGACCCAGAAGAGCCTCCAATCCAGAACTCTAGCCATTATGCTCCAAGAAAACTGCCTCCGATAGCCGAGCATCGCAGACGAGAAGCAAATAGGCCGCCATTTTTCAGGTTAACCGAAGTCCGTACTAATTCATCACAGAACACAATTATATCACGAAGCGCCTTGGAACGTTTTGACAGTTTGGAATACCTTTGAATTTTCAGATTGAAGCTAATTTACACAACATTATATATAAAGACAAACTGAGCACAACCTCCAGTCCTCCTATTACCAAGTTAATGAATGAATCCTGTCGCTCTGCTAACTCCAATACCTATGCCATGAAAAATCCGAAGCGGAGTCTTGCGTCCGGCAGGGACGGTAAGTCTCGTCGGAATAACACGAGGCCAGGTCGTTTATTGGATAGTGATGCGGCGAGCCTCGGCCTTCTTGATCTTGGGAACAATCACACTCAGGATTCCGTCGTTGAGGCTGGCGGTAACCGACTGGGTATTGACATGGGTGGGGAAATTGAAGCTCCGGGCGAACTCGCCAACGCTGCGCTCAGAGAGCCAGTACTTGGCCTTATCCTTAGGTTCCTCGGCGGCACCCGTAGCAGCGACGCTGGATTCGGCGCCTTCCTCCTCGACGGTCGCCTTGTGGGGCTTCTTCGCCTCGCCGGACTCAATGGCGCCGGCAGAGGTCTTGCCCTCGAGAGCTGGGGGGGTTCCCTCGGTGTAGGATCGCTCAACGCGCCCACGGATGACCATGGTCTGGGGGTCGGAGAACTCGATGGTGACATCACTCTTGTTCAGGCCGGGAAGTTCTCCGTGAAGTTCGTAGGCTTCCTCAGTCTCGCGGACATCGAACTTGGGCTGGAAGTTGGGGAGGCTGGTGCGGGAGGTGCCGCGACCCTGGCCTGCCTGGTAGGTATCAAAGTCTTCGAGGAGACGGAAGAGGGGGCCGAAGCCCTGGTCGCCGTAGAAGGATCGTGGGAAGAAAGCCATTGTGCGTGATTGTAGGTTTGGGATGTGGTGGTGGGCGATGTGTCGAGTGGTGATGGTAGGGGTGACTCTCAAGAGAGATCTATAGGGCTTCATATACAATTCGAAGATTTGGTTTGTTGGAGCTGTCTTTGTTGTTTGTAGTGCTTGATTGCTTGTCGAGAAGAAGAATTGATGATTTGGAGGCAGAATTCTGGCATCCTTTTATACTTGAGCTCACTTGAGCTCGTTCATTCTCGGAAGCTCTTGAATACTCGACAACAGGTCTACGCGGCATGCTCTCGTCATCACAAGTGAGCACGCGAAAGTTCTCAAAATCGTAAAGATGTAACCTGATGGATCTAGAAACTTCATGATAATCCAAGCCATAGATTGTTGCTTACACCATTGGAATTTGGGTTATGTGGCGGGACCAATCGACGATTCCAGGCGGTTGTAGACGATCACCGATCAAAGAGGATCAGTTGATGAGGCACCTTGAGAGATCTCGAGAGACAGTGCGAGATTGTGCCAGAATGTTCCGGAACATTTATTTGTTCCAGCTGCCTTTCACGGAAAATAAACAATTGAACTAATTTTCGCTGGTCCAAGTCGTTGCGTCCATTGAATGACTAATCACAGCAATACACTCCATCAATATTGACAATTGTATCAACATGATATCACCAAAACTGCACATTAAGCACAACAGCCCAGGATCAACGCCAACAGTCGCAATTCATATTGTTCTTGCTGGATTCGAGCAGGTCGTTTTTCACTCAGAAAGTTGACCTGACTTAGGCGCACTTTGAGCCCTTGTTCTAACTCCACTTTATCGTCAGGTTATGTTGCCTGGACTGAGTGTTAGTTGGCACTGTATCACTGAGTAGTACGACCTGGTCTCGAAGTTCGCGACATCAAAATGCGAAGCGAAGCGTAAGTTTATTGATATATCATGAGAATGATATCAATCTGCAGTATCCCCTTAACCGCAGCGGTATTTTTTTTTTTTCTGAGCTACACGCTATCCTCGAGAGAATCACGTCAAGGCTCTACTGGTCGGAAAATCGAGTTGGGCCCCCTCTCACAGCTGTCGCCTTCAACCACGCGGAACCGCAGTGTACCAGAGATGCGCTATGACATCACCAGGATCTAGAACACTCGAGGAAGAAAAAGAAACACGCCAGACTTCCCTCCACCAAAAGAAACTGTCTCTCCCTGGGCAGGCTCTATTTACTGCAGATCAGATCACATCACACTCTTCAATGATATCCTTTTTTCCCCCCTCTCCAAGACTTCAATGTTTCCTCCCCAATGGCGTGAGGGCTAGGCAAGATGGTGACAAAAGGATATGCCAGCATTCCTGGCTTAGCGGCAGCCGGGCGGCGAGAGAGCATGGGTGAAGGGATAAGGAGATGGTTCGGAACATAGAGAAGGTGGGGTGGCGTACCTCACCTTATTGGCCTCCCTCTAAACTGTTCCAAGGCGACTAACTTCACGCGATTGGTGTCCAGTCTCGTCCTGCTTGCTGCCATGAGGAGGGTGGAAACCGGTAGGCAAACTTGCTTCTTGCCGATGGACCACCATCATATCCGTCCGGCCGCAGGAAACTCGTTCGATTGATCAGTGACTGATAACGGGTCAGTTTCTAATTTCCATATATTTGATATATGCCTTAATACTCATCAGGAACGGCTAGCTCCGGGCACGTCCGGGGTACGATGTTACGGACAGTGGTCATCAAATCATTGCTCTAGCTCTAAACTGCCTATCCTTTAGTCTGTCTACGAATAGAGATCATATAGCTATAATTCAGCGCTCCTCGTAATTCACTACGCCCAGCCAGCAGCAAACAGCAAAACAACACTAAGTGTCAAGGTTTGGCCTCGGATGAGACGGGGGGTATGCCGTCATCCCCGCCCCGGGAGGAGGAACACCGGATGACGCAAGTCTGGGGCTCTGGATCGAGTTGAAAAGCCCGATTAAACGCCGCCCAACACTTGGTTCAAGCTCCGTACCGTCCCGGGCGATTTTCACCTCCCTGTTTGCATTCCAGGGGTTGCGGAGTCCTCGGGTCCTGTAGAATGGAACACGTGCAGTCGACAGCCACTCTAACGTGAATGGCTTCCCCCAACTCTTTGAAAGTCTATCGTCATCTCCATCCACGCCGCCAGCCACGCTCTCTTCGTCACTCTTATCATCATTGCCGGCATCGTCTTCTCCTCGATCAATCTCCCAGAATATTGTTCCACGCGCCAAGTCGTCGACAATCCTTCCCTTCGGGGCATACTCGGTGCCGTCGGTTGGAATTGCTTTTGGGACATCGACCGCCCCGGCGGACTGTGCCGAGGGCGCAAACTCAATCGCCGCGGCGGGGTCTTCGTTGATAGGAGATGTCATTCTAGCATACCCGAAATATTCGCCTGATTTGTTCGCCGAAAAGATGAGGTATACACTATCTGCTGACTTGATATGGAAGGCTGAAGTTAGCTCGGCAGCTCAGAGTACGTGGTTAGCATGAAGGAAACATGCCTGGAAAGCCGCATTCAGCAGTTCTTCGTTGTGCGACTGCGTCGCCCATATTCCATTCTTAACACTTATTCCCAAGTCCTCAACTGTCAGACTCTTGAGGATGAAGTATCTCTCTTTCTCCTGCCCCTCCCCTCTCGGTGTCTCTGACGTCGTTTTTGCAAGTGGAGATGCGACGGTCGAAGTCGATTGGGTATATCCGCTACCTTCACTTTCGGGCATTGGAATTTCTGACGCTGGAGCTGGGGAAGGTGTAGCCGTAGCCTCCTCAATAGCCTGCGCACCCGCTCCGGGGCGTTCTGCTACACCTTTTCTCAATCTACTCACCAGGCGTACGGACTGAAACCTTGAATCATGGAGCCTCTGCTGGGCTAATACACACGTCTGTTCGTCTTTGAAGTTGGCAAAGGCGCAACTGCTCTTGGAAATCAAGAACAGAGATTCCAGCCCAGGCGCTTCTTTGCAGACATGATTTACAAGGCTCATGAGATCCGTGTGTGGCGGCAAATTTCCAATCCAGATAGCGTGTCCTAGGATCACGAGAAATTCTTGGTCAGTATTGCTATCATCACCTTTTTTTTCCCTCCCCTTTCTGTCTCTTTTATTTTATTTTTCTCCCCCATCCCCCCCGTTCCTTTTTTTTTCCCTTTCTTCTTGGTTCGTTCAAGTCGGGATCGGCGGCTACACACCTCTCTGTTTCGGTTTTCTCGGCGGACCCCTTACGACCCCTTGCCGGTCGACCGCGGATTCGGGCCCTCTTGTTCCCCTCTTTAGGTTCCCAGGAAGCTCGCGGCTCACCACGTCAGAGGCACGGGGCCCGCTACCTGCCGCGATCACAGGCGGTGTCGTCCGAGGGTCCATTTCAGGCACCGGGTATGCGGTGTATTGCCGAGGTGCGTGTTGAGATATCGGATGACTCGACGGCGGGTAATAGTAGACGGTCTGTTGGGCCTGAGTGACAGGGATATGGGTACTCGTCGGCAGTTGAGCTTGATGGAACGCAACGTTTTGTCTAGGATGCATTACTCTCGATGCCGGATGGACCTGGTAAACAGGTACCGGATAGTACGGCTGCCCTGTCGGAGTTTGCTGAGAATAGAACGCTTGGTTATGCAAGTGAGTCCCCTGAGCCGGATAGTGGTGCGGTCGAGGA